AATATCAGGACATTCCTCCTTAGTTCTAGGTTAGGTCTCTCCTTGACTAGTTTCCATCCGTTGCTTCTTGTCCTGCCCGCAGGCGCTTTGGAGAATAGCTTGACTCCCTCTTCTTTGGGGCAGCCCCTGAGATACTGGAAGGCTGCTGTCGTGTCCCCCCTCGTCCTTCTCTTCATTAAACTAGACATACCCAATTCCTGCAACCGTTCCTTATATGTTTTAGCCTCCAGTCCCCTAATCATCTTTGTTGTTCTTCTCTGCACTCTTTCCAGAGTCTCAGCATTTATTTTATATCGTGGGGGTGACCCAAATGGGACTCAGTATTCCAAGTGTGGCCTTACCAAGGCGTTGTAAAGTGATATTAACACTTGGCATGATCTTGACTCTATCCCTCTGTTAATGCTGCCTAGGACTGCGTTGCCGTTTTTGGCTGCTGCAGTAACACAGCTGGCTCACAGTTAAGGGATCATCCACAAGGACTCCGCAGATCCCTCTCACAGTTACTGCTGTGGATCCAGATACCACCTATTCTATATCTACTGCATATATTTGATTTTTCTTGCCTAAATGTAGAACCTTGCTTTTCTCATCATTGAATTTCGTTGAGAAGCTCACAGGGATATTGGTTGAGAAGCTTTCTGACGCCTCTTCCAACTGTTAGAATCTCTGTTTTTTGAGGCTAAAGGGTGGGAAATTTGTAGAAATAATAATAATAATAATAATAATAATAATAATAATAATAATAATAATAATAATAATAATAATGTCAATTGCAAAAGGCGGCCTTACTAGGAACTGCTTCCATCCTGCGATGATACCTGTAATACCATCAAACATCCACATCTGCCTATCCCAGGTCCTGGGTAAGGACTCGATAGGTAGACAAAATGCCAAATCCAGTCTGAACATCTGGCTGACTGTGCGATGATCCACAATAATAATAGTAAAGTTGGAAGGGACCTTGGAAGTCATCTAGTCCAACTCCCTGCTCAGGCAGGAAACCCTATACCATTTCGGACAAATGGCTGTCCGGTCTCTTCTTAAAAACTTCCAGTGTTGGAGCATTCACCACTTCTGGAGGCAGGTTGCTCCACTGATTAAATGTTCTCACTGTCAGGAAGTTTCTCCTTAGTTCTAGGTTGCTTCTCTCCTTGATTAGTTTCCATCCGTTGCTTCTTGTCCTGCCTGTCCACTTTACTTATATAAGCAAAAGAAGAAAGACATGAACAAGTCCTTTAGAAATTGTTCCACGAGGTTAGCATAGCTTGTGCAGCATTGCTAAACACCAAAGTGATTGGAGCAACTGTGGAGGGCCATTCAGGTCCGCAGAACACATGGAATGAATGCTTAAATCAGTAACAAGTCATAATTCCTGCTCAACTCAGGCAAGGCAACGTCTGGAATGGTCTAGGGCAGGGGTAGGCAACCTTGGCTCTTTTATGACTGGTGGACTTCAACTCCCAGAATTCCTCAGCCAGCATGGCTCATCTTGGGAACCTCTCCCTTTCCCCTCAGCGTGGCTGGCTCAGGAATTCTGGGAGTTGAAGTCCACCAGTCATAAAAGAGCCAAGGTTGCCTACCCCTGGTAGGATCTCCTTCTTTGAGCAGGAGGTTGGACTAGAAGACCTCTGAGGTCTCTTCCAACTCTGCTATTCTGTTATTCTGACTCAAAGGACTTAACCTAGACTGATCCTTTTCCACACGGAAGAAAAGATTGGCCAAAAGTACTCTGAGGTTGCCTGCCCCAGGCTGGGGATGATGGAGAACAATATTCCAAGAGGCCGAAAGAGCAGTTGGTTAGGAAAAGCTGCTCTGAAGTTTTGTTTTTCCTGCCACAGCGTTGAACTTACACAGAGTACACAAGATGAGAGACGAAATGAACATGAGTGTGGAAGCCCAGAGAATAACAGCTGTTTTGGTATCAAAGGTTGATTTCCCTAGAAGTGTAAGAAGGAAAGAGCATTTTCAGGCAAACAAGCAAAACAACAACCTCACCAGCACCTCGGTCTGCCCCCACCTCACCTCAGCCCAGTGATGGTTCACAAAGCCATAAAGTTGTGATTTTAGAACAGAAGCAAAAGCCTCACAAATGGGGTCATGCGGTCACTGAAAATGAGGGGTGGTTGCTGAGCACCTGAAATGCAGCCACCTCGACTATGAGGCACCAGCAATTTAGAAGCAAGTGTCATAAGTAGCTTTTGGGCCGTGGTGGCGAACCTATGGCACACGTGCCACAGGTGGCACGCAGAGCCCTCTCTGTGGGCACGCGCGCCGTCACCCCAGTCCTAGACCTTCAGCTGGGTTTTATCAATCAATTTCAACTTCTCGCGGGGAAAAAAAAGATATCTCAAAGTTGCAATTGATTGATTGAACTTTTCAGTCCCACCCAGTCTGCCGTTACCACTGCAGCCATGCCCGGCCAATGGGCCACGCCCACCCAATGGGCCACACCCAGCCAATGGGCCATGCCCACCCAGTGGGCCACACCCACCCAATGGGCCATGCCCACCTGGCACCCGACGATATCTGAGTGGGCTTTGGGTTGCAGTTTGGGCACTTTGTCTCTAAAAGGTTCGCCATCACTGCTTTTGGGTGATTTGTTGTCACTTCAAATGGTCGCTACATGACCAGTTGTAAGTCGAGAACTCCCTGTAGTCCTTTTCTTTACACTCCTGGAATTTGCACGATTGCTCTGTGTCACAATGAGCAGCAGACAGCAACACCCATTTTTTTAAAAAAAGGAAGCAGCTCCATCTCCTGGCCACTGTTACAATCCCCCTTGGATGCCTCTGTTTCGCTCTGTCAAAGGATGATGGGAGGGGTCTTCTTTGGAGCAAAGGAAGGGTTTAGGGATTCGAACCAGCACAGCAACTCCTTGGCTTCCAATAAATTTAATTTTGTACGCCGCCCTGAGTCCCTTGGGATTGGGCGGCATATAAATAAAATTAAATAAATAAATAAAGCAAAATATTTGTAGCTCAGGGTTGAACCATTCTCTCTGATGGTTTTCTGACAGATGTTTCATTATCCAACTAGGTAATGCCATCAGTTCTAGAAGGGAGTGGGGTTTGTAGAGAGGAGGAGGATTGTGGGATCCTTGGCGCTCCCTGAATTTGGCTGTTTTCTTGCAGATGTTTCCTTACCCAACTAGGTAACATCATCAGTGCTGATGAGAATATTTGTAGCTCAGGGTTGAACTGTGCGGTCCTTGGTGCTCTCTCAGCTCCATCGTTTCCTTGCAGATGTTTCATTATCCAACTAGGTATCATCTTCATTGCTAGAAGGAAGTGGGGTTGGAGGAGGAGGGAGAGGAGGACAAGGAGGAGGACGAGGACTGTGGGGTCCTTGGTGTTCTCTGAGCTTGGTGGTTTCCTTACAGACATTTCATGACTAAACTAGGTAATATCATCACTGCGAGAAAGGAGTGGTGGTGGTGGTGGTGGTGGTGGTGGTGAAGGAGGAGGAGGAGGAGGAGGATGACTGTTAAAACCTTGAAATTCTCTGGGTTTGCTTGTTTTCTTGTAGACATTTCAGGACCCAACTAGGTAACATCATCAGTGCTAGTAGGGAGTGAGTTTGTTCCCAATTTATACTTTAGAGTAGTGGTTTTCAGCCTTTTCTCACTACGGACCCCCTTTAAATACCTTTTGTGGCCACAGACCATGGCAACAGACCCCAGGACTCAAAATTGAAATCATAACATTTCTTCAAGTCTTTTTAGACCCCCATGATGACATCACGGACCTCCAGGGGTCTGCTGACCACAGATTGGGAACCACCGTTCTAGAGGATATCCTTGTCAGTGTTGGTGGGACTAGCAAGCCACTAGTATATGAATTGAGAGCAAACCCCAGTCCCTACTGGCACTGATTATGTTGTATAGTTGGGTAATGAAACATCTACAAGAAAACAACCAAGCTCAGAGAGCACCCAGGACCCCTCACTTGTTCATTTCCCAGGCTGGCAGGGATCTCTGCACATGTTTAGAGAGGAGACAATAAAGCAAAGTAATACTTTGAGACACATTAGCCCTTGACCTTCACTGAGAACTGAAAACCCAGGATGTTGTTTTTTCTTTCCTCTCTCCCCACCCTCTTTATTCTTCCTTTATGCAACAACAAGTTGGGCAACAACACACCTTTGGTTTCAACATCTTCGTCTGACTCCTCACCGTCCTCCATTGTACCATTTTATTTCCTCTGCATAAAGACAAAATATTTGAAAGCATTGAAATGCACCTGACAAAGATCACATTCTCATGTCTTTCTTTGATGAATTTATAAGGTCTTCACTGCATTGGACTAGAAGAGCTCCAAGGTCCCAACTCTGCTATTCTCTTATTCACTTGTGCTTCAAATGGCAACTCTTCTTGAAGAGATCATAGGTCAGTAGTTTCCCATAGAATTGGGTGCTAGGAGCCAAAGGAAATCATACTCTCAACTGCAGTGGACTCTTTTAGAAGACTTAAGTTTGCTAGCCGCACTTTCGAATAACTTTCAGAAATTGCATATTTAACTATCATAAAGGCATTAGAGATCTTCAAAACAACAAGTTTAAAAAGCTACCTGGTGAGTTAATCTTTGTTCTTGAATAAAAGAAAAATCAATTATGAGCTCAACAACTTGAAGAATTAGAAATGAATGATAAAAAAGCTAAATAAGAATTTAATAAAGTTATAAATGAATTAAGGGACTACACAATATGGAATATTAGGTTCTTTGCCTTAACATTTTGGAAGCAATTTTATAAATAAACAGCACCTTTATGGGAATTAATTTGTTTAGAATAGCCCAAGTCAAAGCAAAATAGAGAGAGAGAATTTATGATTTCAGAAATTGAACACTAGAGGAGACTAAATATTCCAGGCATAAAGAGAAATGGGAGAAAAAGTAAAAAGTCAGCATCTTGTCTTTGATCAGGAATGAATCCTGTGAAATGATGGGAAATGCTATGATGTTTAAAATACTTCAGGAGATTTTTGAAGAACGGGAGCCAAGAACAGCAGCTTCAGCAACAGCAATGATGCCTGCTTCTATAAATCGATTGTGTTCAGAGGATATGTTAAAAAGAAATCACTGAAAGAGAACATTCTAGAACAGGGGTTCTCAACCTTGGCAACTTTAAGACTTGTGGACTTCAACTCCCAGAATTCCTCAGCCAGCTTTGCTGGCTGAGGAATTCGGGGAGTTGAAGTCCACAAGTCTTAAAGTTGCCAAGGTTGAGAACCCCTGTTCTAGAAGATTTACAAGGTAAAGAAATGAATCAAATTGCTGATGTTTCTACATCAGAACACAAAGAATTTGCAGAAATACTGAAAAAAAAAAATTTTTTTTAAAATATGAGACAGCGAAAACAAAGTGTACAGTAAATGACAAGCCGGGTGTCAATTCTCCTGGCTTAACTAGATAGGAAACAAGGCTAGATGATCTAATTCTAGTTTATTTGAAGGCTAAATTAGTACAAAGTTTCTGCCACCACTTTTTCCTGCCTGAGAAATTAGGGAGGGCCCTTCCTCAGTTTCTTCTTCTGCCCGTAAAGCAACCTGGGGCTCCTGTGTCTCTTCTCTGATTGTTTCCTAGGTAGCATTTCTTCCCCTTGTCCCCCCAACTTCATGCCCATATTAAATTGCGCCAAGAGATAGATCTGGGTATGGATTTTCTTTTATAGGACCTAGAAAAGAAGGGGTTAAGCCAGTGGTTCTCCACCTGTGGGTCGGGACCCCATTTGGGGTCGAATGACCATTTCACGGGGGTCGCCAAACCACGCTGTCCGCCATTGTTTTCCCTTTTCCCTAGCTGTCCTACTCCCTCTTATTGGTGGCCACGCCCACTTGGGGGTCACCACAACATGGGGAACTGTATTATGGGGTCACGGCATTAGAAAGGTTGAGAACCACTGGGTTAAGCCCTGAAGAAAGCTTTGAGATGGAAATAAGAAAAAGGGAAGGGAGATCAAATCCAATGATATCAGCTGAATGAACTAAAGATTAATATTGCTAGGAACAAAAGAAAAGAATACAGAGTTAGTTCACTTGACCAAGGTGAAAATAAGACATGTCAGTATAAATCTGGAGCTCCTTATTATTATTATTATTTTGCTGAAATGCAAATTGGTGCAGATGATATGAGAAGCCTTCTCCAACCCAACATCCTCCAAGGGTTTGGCTGCCCCGAATCTCTGATCAAACAGGGCAGTGTGACCGCAGGTGGGGACTGCAGCCAAGAAATTAAAAGACGCTTGACCCTGGGGAGGAAAGCTATGGCAAATCTAGACAGCATACTAAAAAGCAGAGACATCACCCTGCCAACAAACATACGCATTGCCAAGGCTATGGTTTTCCCAGTTGCAATGTATGGCTGTGAAAGGTGGACCCTAAGAAAGGCTGAGTGCCAAAGAATGGAGGCCTTTGAACTCTGGTGCTGGAGAAGACTCCTGCGAGTCCCCTGGACTGCAAAGCGATCAAACCGGTCAGTCCTAGAGGAGATCAATCCCAACTGCTCTTTAGAAGGCCAGATCCTGAAGTTGAAACTCAAATACTTTGGCCACCTAATGAAAAGGAAGGACTCACTGGAGAAGAGTCTGATACTGGGAAAGATGGAGGGCAAGAGAAGAAGGGGACGACAGAGAACAAGGTGGCTGGATGGAGTCACTGAAGCAGTAGGCGTGAGCTTAAATGGACTCCAGAAGATGGTAGAGGACAGGAAGGCCTGGAGGAACGTGGCCCATGGGGTCACGATGGGTCGCAACTAACAACAACAGAAGACACCCAGGCTGCCTCCTAAGGCTCACAAGTAGGGTGAGGCTATTTCCTTCCTGTATGTCATGGGAAGAGAACTAAAGGTCTTTGCACAAAACTCGTCTTCCCCATCCACCGGGGCCTATGAGGATATGTTAGTGGTGAATGTAGCTTAACTCAGTTTCTTCACCTTCCTGCTGCAGCATCCCTCTGACAGGTGCCACCCACTTCTCCTTTGATGCCAAACCTTCCAGAACCCTCCCACTCAACCATTGTTTGATTGGCTGCTTACCAGTCTCTCTGTCAGCATTCCACACATGAAACAACTTTAGGCAAACACTCCTTTGGGTGTATGTATGTATGTATGTATGTATATTATATATAAAACCCTCATTATTTCATGTCAGGTTTCCATTTTTAATCATGCTTCCATGGGAATCAAGAAGTAAGGGTCACTCTAATCTTTCTAAGCTCTGCAGAGGGCAGCTGATGGGAGGGACATAAATATATGTGTGTGAAGTGACAGATGATAGACAGACAGACAGACAGACAGATAGATAGATAGATCTGAAAATAATAACAAGAGATTATAAACAGCTAGGGAAAAAAGCTTAGGAGCACAAGTGGTATTTTCATCTATACTTCCAACAAAAGGCCAACATCCAATCTTCTTCTTCTTGTGCCATATCCGTTATTGGACATTGGCGATCATGTTGGTGATCCTGTTTTTATCAGCAGCTGCACAAAAAAGTGCTGCTGAGTTTTGTCCAAACCAGTCCAATGAGGGAGCAAATTTTTTTTAGAAATGAACCACTTGCTTAAAAAACTGCTGTTGTCCACAGAACTTTGGCTTCCTAGACCATGGTCTGCATTACCTAGATGAAGGGCAAGGGATGGATTGGCAAGGGATGGACTGCACCTCACAAGAATGGAAAGAATATATTCAGAAAACAAGTGGCTCATCTTATCAAAAGGACTTTAAGCTAAAATTGTGGGGGGAGGGGAGCAAACTTAACAACCTATGGAACCTAATTCCAAGCAAAAACAACTAGATAACCAATTACATAAGGAGGAAGCGAGTACAGAGAAAAAAGAAATAAAAAAGATAATGAAATAGAGTAGTGGTTCTCAACCTTTTTAATGCCGCGACCCTAACCGGTCGTAAGTCGAGGACCACTTAACCAGTCGTAAGTCGAGGACTACTCAACTGGTGCAGCACCGTTTGCAGAATGGGACTTTTGGCAGGCTCAGCAGGGCAGAGACAGCCTGGACAATTCCTATTGGCTTTTGAAAGCCAATAGAATTAGACTCTATTCAAGAAAAGCTAAGGAAAAGGGGAAAAAATAGCGGACAGCCTTGTTTGGCGACCCCCATGAAATGGTCGTTCGACCCCAAATGGGGTCCCGACCCACAGGTTGAGAACCACTGAAATAGAGAGTGATGGAAATGATGGAAATCCCAGTTACAAAGTAGGAGATATACGAAACATACTCAAGATCCATAAAGGACTCAAATACCAATACATGAATGCTCAAAGTTTAGAGAACAAACAGGGTCAACTTGAATTATTAGGTATATGAAGGCAGATACGATATAGTTGCCATTATTGAAGCTTGGCTGGATGAAACTCATGACTGGAATGTACTGATGGAAGGTGGCGCAGCAGTTAGGGTGCAAGTACTGCAGGCCACTTTAGCTGACTGTGTTCAGCAGGTCAGCGGTTCAAATCTCACCGGCTCAAGGTTGACTCAGCCTTCCATCCTTCCGAGGTAGGTAAAATGAGGACCCAGATTGTTGGGGGCAATGTAAAATATATATATATATATATACATTGCTTACTGGTGTACACCGCTTAGAGAGTGCTTGCACTTAAAGCTGTATATAAGTCTCATAAATAAAAATAAATATAAACTATTCAAAAGAAACAGACCCAACAAAAGAGGAGGTGGACTTGTATTATACATAAAAGATCACTACATCTCTACAGAAATACACAAAACTAAAGATGAAAACCTCCTAGAATCCATATGGATCAAAATAAAAGGAAAAAAGAATGACATTGCCATAGGTATATACTACAGGCCACACAACCAAGCAGAAGAATTAGATGAACTCTTTGCTAATCAGTTAACAAATGTATGTAGGAAACATACCACGGTAGTAATGGAAGACTTTAACTACCCTGATATCAACTGGAGACAAACTCCACAGCAAGTAGGAGATTAAATAGATTCCTAACCAACTTAGCTGACAACTTTGTCATCCAAAAGGTAGAGGAAGGAACTATAGGAAAAGCTATACTGGACCTAAGTCTAGATAGATGGAGTTGAAGTTGCCAGAACCTGGGCAAGGGTGATCACATCATGCTGGAATATAATGCAAACAGAAGCAATAGAATACAACCAGTGTGTTAAACTTTAAAAAGCTGTTTTTAACAAACTCAGAGAAAGCTTAAGAAAATTTCATGGATAAAAATCCTAAAGGGGAAAACAACTCAAGAAGCATGGCAAACACTGAAAAATATAATCATAAAAGCCCAGGCCAACACAATGCCACTAAAAAAAAAAAAAATCCAACCAGCATGGTTGTACAAAGATCTCTCTGATAAACTGAAAGACAAAAGGCATAAGTACAAAAAATGAAAAAAGAGACAGATAACTAAGGCAGAATATCAGCAGATAGCCCGAATCGGCAAATATGGTCAGGAAAGTAAAGAATGAACAAAGACTTGCAACAAAAGTAAAAGATAATTTTAAAAGTTTCTTTCAACATATAAATAATAAAAAAAAGTCAAGGAAACAGTCGATCCACTAAAGAGAGAAGATGGCAAGGAAGTAACAGACAGTAGAGAAAAAGCAGAGCTGCTTAACTCATTCTTTGCAGCAGTTTTCACACAAAAAGAAATTATAGCCCAACCTATCAAAAACATAACTGTAAAAGACAGACTAGAAATAAAAATTAAAATAAGCAAGAAAATGATAAGAGAATACCTGTCTGACCTTGATGAATATAAATCATTGGGGCCTGATGGATTACATCCCAGAGTTCTAAAAGAGCTGGCAGATGTTATCTCAGAACCATTGTATCATGTCTTTAAAAAAATCTTGGTGCACTGAGGAACTACCAGAGGATTGAAAAAGAGCTGATGTGGTTCCCATCTACAAAAAAAGGAAAAAAAACAGACCCAGGAAACTACAGACCAATCCACTTGACACCAATACCTGCAAAGATACTGGAAAAAATAATCATATCTATCTCATAACCAGGCCTGAAACCCAACTGAAAGGAGCCCAGATAATCTGAACACACACACACACACACACACCCAGGCTCCTTTGGAGCTGCAACACAACAACTTTTTTCTATCACCTTCCCTAAAAAGGTAAGGTGGGAAACTGGACAGAATTTGTCCAGGTAGGTCGGGTCCAATGATGGTGGACCAAGATCTCCTTGAATGGTGCCTTCTGCACCGATGCATTAATCACTGCCTGGATCCATCTGCAGGCCCTTGTCCTGGAGGATTTCGCCAGCCAGGAGGAACAAAGACCTAACAGGCAAGTAGTTGCATTCACAGCCCTGAGGACCCTGTCCACTTCCTCGGGTCCCACAGAGACAAGGCATTCCTGGATATGAGAGCTCCTCGGTGGTTTCTGAGCTTGGGGGCTTTCTTGCAGACGTTTCATGACCCCACTGGGTAACCTCATCAGGGATAGAAGGGGGGGGGCTTTGCATTAATTCTTCCAAGCCCTGTCAGTGTTGGTGGGGATGGTCATGGTGGTTCTTTGGCTGAGCTGTTCACTGTTGGCTTGTTTGGCAGTTCCTTGATTGGGATATTGTTTAATTGATTGTTGATCTGATGTTAATCTGTGCTCAAACAATAGCCCATCCAAAGGACCTCCAACGCCGACAGGGCAGGCCAACAGAATGGAAATGGAGAGCAAAGCCCACTCCTTACTAGCACTGAAGATGTTACCTGGGTAGGTCATGAGAAACCTCCACGAAGACAACCCAGCTCAGAGAGCACCAAGGACCCCTCATTTCAACCCTGAGCTATAAAGATTCTCCTTTATTGGCATTCCCAATAAAAAGGGAAAGTCCACCCAACAGGCGGAAAATGCACATTCATACAAAAGAAAGGAGATTTAATGCATCATCAATGCCCATACCACATGGCAGCAACCCCTACACTGCCCTGGAGTGAGCGGAAGGATATAGAAGATGTTATGTATACATTAGGGAAGGTCCCTTCCAAGTGAAATCTGCTTAGCTCCTGTGACTGCAGGAAATCATCCAACGAAGGGGCGTTTAGCAGCTCCTGGGCTCCTGGTTCCACCAGAAGATTGCTAGTGTTCTTTGGAAGGTTTGTTTCGCTTGCTTTCTAGCCTGGAATCTGCTCTCCTGTAGCTTAAGTCCCTTCTGCTCTGACTCTACTCTGGAAAGGTGGTGGGCAGGCCAGAAATAACCGTTCTTGTGTGTGCGATATCCTTTGGAAGCATTCCCACCTTCCCCTTGGTTATCTTTCCCCCAAAAGCTGTTTCTTCTTTCCAAGAAAAGTTTGCATTCGGATTGGGGGGGGGGAATTCCCAGAACAGATTCCCTGGGGGTGAAACTCAAACCAGTTTAATTGCTGCCACTCTAGAAATCTTCCTCCACTAAGGCGTGCCGGATTTCCAGACCCAGCAGCCTGTTTCCTGAAATAAAGCCAAGCGAGAGTGAGAAGGAACAAAGAACGTCTCGGTCTTCCTCAAGCTCTGCAGAGTCCCCACTATGCGTCGCTAATAGGTGGGGGAGGCTCTATCGGCTGCGGATTGAGTTCCAGGGGCTGGTTTTGACTAGGGTTGGCCCCGCAGGATCCCCTTTGTTCGCCCGGATCAGACAGACCAGCTAGGGTGGTCCTACCAAGTGGCCACATTCAGCAGGTCTGGGGCAGAGGAAAGTTTAGTGCCCCAGTTGTGACAACATTATGGAATTGCCTCCCGGAGGAGATTAACTTGGTCTCCTCTTGGTGGACATTTCTGAAATTGTTGGAGATGGAGCTGTGTGGGAGAGACATCCGCTGGTTTTACGATGTCTCAGTTTTTCGGCTTTCCCGTTTGTCTTTTTGTTTAGTGATGCTTTTCTTGTTCTTGTTGAGCCTCTCATGTGGTTTGGTGTATTAAAACACCATGGATGTTGTGAACCCTTCTTTTGTATTCTATGTCAGCCAAGGAACTTTTGAAGGCAGCAAAGTAGAGATGTGATAAATCAAACCTCTGTAATGACTTGGATGGCAAATCCTGGGATGGAGGGTGGGGTGCACATGGGCCCTCGGGGGTTTTTCGATACTCCCGCATGTAGTTCTTTTTATTTATTTAAAGATTTATATGGCCGACCACTCACTCTTAGTGACTGTGGGCAGCTTACAAACAATAAAGCTGAACGAAATAGAACGAACACAGAAAAGACAGTTTCTTTTTTCATTCTTTTTTACTTGTCCCTGAATTTGCTAAATAAGACCGTATCTTTGATCTCCGAAAAGGCAGGATGGAAAAGGTGTTTGGAAGCTGATGTCAAAGTCCTGAGTTCTTCCATGTCTCCACGCTGGCTGACTGGGGCAACTGTTTTTCAGAGGCAGGTTCCCCGAGTGGCGTTTCTTTCTCACTGGGTTCATCAAGTACAATTTTGTGCAACGTTCAGCAAAGAGCTAGTTTATCCATTTGTTCTCAGGTTTCTGCTTGCAAATGCCTCTTCCCTCAAGGGTACACTCCACAGCACTCCAACACTGTAAATGTGTATCACATTCATTATGTATTCTTACACATTTATTAGTTAGACGTCTGCCTGGTTCTCCATCCTTCCAGTATCTGGAAAGAAGAAACAACTGTTGTCAGTCCTCTAGACAAAATGAGTATCATTTATAGACTTTGGAGCAGGAAATAAATGTTGGATCCATTCACCTTCTTCCCTCACCTCAATGGGAGTTTCCAACAACTCCAAATGTTGGTCTGTGGTTGTTTTGGCAGAGAAATAGAGGTGGAGTTCACCAAAGTCTTGGCGACACATCTCCCCCTCCGTCCTCTTGAACAGACCTTTACGGATTACGGATCTCTAGGCAACCGTTTTATAAAAATGGGCCATGGCACCCTTCTTGGTTGCTTTGGGCATTGAGGCTTGGGGAGAATTCTGGAGTGTTTCTATTCCTCCCTTTGCCGGTGGTTTCAGTTGGGGGAGGGGGTGGGGGAGGAGAAGTCAGGGAGATGGGTACTCATTCATGGGGCACCGTAGAGTTTCGTCCTTTCCCCATTATTATCCTCGTGCAAGAAAGCAGTGGGGAAGGTCGTCCATCAGTTCAGGGCTCAGTGCCATCCCAATGTGTGATGGAATGTGCATCCGCAGGAGCAGAGTGTGTGTGTGGGGGGGGGGGAGATTTGGCTATACAGACTTTTCCCAGGAAGAGGCCCCTATTAAGAGACTTCACGGTCCTGGGTGGAGAAGAGGGGACGAGGTTCAGGGTAGCCACACCTTAGAACCTCTGAGATATTTTTTTTTCAAAAAAGTTTTTATTTTCCAATTATCAATTACATAAACAAAAAAGAAGAAATTTCACGTTTAACAAGATAAAGTAAATACACCTAGATGTCGCCTGCCCACCCCCACCCCGAAACTGCATCCTCCCTCTCTTGTACTCTCCCTTACTTCCCTCCTCCTTCTCCCTCCCCTCACCTCTCTCTCCCTTCCCCCTCTCCTCTCACCATCCTACTTCCTCCCAAGCCTTTCTCCTCCTCTCTCTCTCCCCTCCCCCTCTCCTCTCACCATCCTACTTCCTCCCTAACCTTTCTCCTCCTCTCTCATCCCTCTTCGGATACAGTACCGGGGAAATGCCCAAGCAACATCTCTCTCATAAGTTATCCCTTATTATCTTACTTTAATCCTATCATCTAACCTACCTACCCCCCCCACCCCAACCCCCCTCCCTCCCAGTCCCAAAAACCCACCCACCCCAACCTCCCCTCCCCCCCACTTCCCAGAGCTTGGCACAGGGTTTTCAAACATATTAAACAAAATCTACTTAACTTTAACTAATGCAAACTAAATCTAACTAAACCTATCCAACTATACAAATAAGAAAATTAATAAGTTACTTTAACTCAAATACAAAACAAATTTAAACAAATTAAAGAAAATCAACTATCAAAATCAAATAATGCCAAATTTAAAACAAAAATTATTCATAATCAAAATACTTTTAATGATATCTACTCTAATCAAAGTTTACTCATTTTTTTTTCAAACATATTAAACAAAATCTACTTAACTTTAACTAATGCAAACTAAATCTAACTAAACTTATCCAACTATACAAATAACAAAATCAATACATTACTTCAACTCAAATACAAAACAAATTTAAACAAATTAAAGAAAATCAATTATCAAAATCAAATAATGCCAAATTTAAAACAAAAATTGTTCATAATCAAAACAATACTTTTAATCATCTCTACTCTAATCAAAATTTACCCATTAAATCCCATATTTATTTTAACTTTAACTAATAGAAACTAAATCACAATAAGTAAAATGGAATTTATTCATCATCCAAACAGTACTTTTAATCATATCTACTCTAATCATAATTTACTCATTAAATCCCATATTTGTTCTTCATATAATTTATCCACCTTCTCCACACCGAGATGTGTATTTCTTTTAAACAATATAAACTTAGCTCTTAACTCTTTCCCCCCCAGACCCAAATGAATGTAATACCCTTTTCTCCCAAATCAAAACCTTATAACATTCTTATCCACTTTTAATATATCATAAGTACTCTCAAATATTAAATCACCAGATTAAAACCTATCAACTATTCTCTCGAACAGAAATCATAGCAGATACTCTCAGATATTAAATCCCTAGGTTAAAGCCTATCAAGTCTTCTCCCAGGCAAAAATCATAAATAACAAAAATTTAACAAAACTCCTTATAACAGCCGGCTGATATTCCAACTTCTCCTTCTATTATCTGTTACTTAGAAGATGACGAAAAACCTTCTGCTGTTCCATTATTTTACTTCTAAAAACTGCACGAGTCATGCCCGATTTCTTTGATAAATCTTCTGTTGAAGAGGACTGCTGCAAAGGTACAACCTCCATATCTTCTTCAATCAGCTGCTCTTCCGGCTTTTCTTCCACCTTTATCTTACTTCTAAAAGGTCCACAAGTACTCAATTTCATTAATGAATCTTCTGTCAAAAAAGATTGTTGCAAAGGTTTAACCTGCGAATCTTCTATCAGTTGCTGTTCCAACTTTTCTTCTAATACCTCAGTTCTAAAAGCTGCCCGAGTCATGCCCAATTTCTTTGATGAATCTTCTATTAAGGAGGACTGGTGCAAAGGTTCAACCTGCATATTTTTTCCAGTCAGCTGCTCTTCCAGCTTTTCTTCCACCTTTATTTTACTTCTAAAAGCTCCACAAGTACTCAATTTTATTAATGAATCTTCTGTCAAGAGAGATTGTTGCAAAGGTTTAACCTGCATATCATCTATCAATTGCTCTTCCAACTTTTCTTCTAATATCTCAACTGTAGGTAATAAAGAGCCCGCCTTCAAAACAGAAGTATAAAAATCCTTCCCTTTCAAAATTGTATCAAGTCTGTAGCGTGTCCCTGCATAATTCACCACTATTCCAGCCGGTATCTCCCATCTGAAACGAATCTGTGGCCTCTTAAGCTCATCAGCCAAAAAAGCAAAATGCTTTCTTACTTTAAGAATTCTTGAAGGTAGTTCTTTCAGAAGTATAACATCCTGGGCTGCAATTTGAAATCTCTGCTTGTAAAAGGCTTGTAAAATTTTATTACGAAGTGATCTACTAAAAAAATAAATAACCACATCTCGTGGCAGATTCCTCTGTCTTGCAACCCTTGAATTAACCCTAAAAACTTTTTCTGTCTCTCTCAATATTTCTTTAGGCTCGGATTCCAAAATAAGAGCTATATCCTTTGCAACCACTTGTCTCAAATCTTCTTGATTATTTTCCTGCATTCCTCTTATTCTTAAAGCAAACTCCATACTTCTGTATTGTAACATAGTAATTTCATCCTGAATTATTTCCACCTTATTTTCTATTTTATCTTCCAATTTTTCAGAATTTTCTACAGCAACATCAATACGCTGATCCAAACGATCTATGTGATCAGCAAACTTCTGAAGCACAGACGCTATATCTTCTCTCAATTTCCTAAATTTATTTTCAATAATTTCACTTATCTCTTTTTCAATCCGTCGTACACTATCTTCCAAAGCGTCCTGTAAGTCTTTAGGTAAAACTGCTGGTAAAGCTGAGAAAAGTGGTGGAAATTTAGACTCAACTTGCTGAGCTGTCTGCATTACCGAAGAGGAGATTGAGGCTTTAGAAACAAAAGCTCCAAAATGCTTTGAAGCCATCTTGGGAAAAAAAAAAAACTCTTAAAATCTTATAAAACCTTTAACAAAGAGAGAGAGAAAAAAGAAGACAAAAGGAGGGGAAAAAACAAAAACAAAAGCCCCCTGTGTAAATAAAAAGAAGAAGAAAAAAAAAGCTGTTACATTGTTTCAAATTAAAGTTCCGGTCCTTTCACTCTTAAAAACAACATCTCAGCGCCATTTTTCACCCCTCTCAAATAAGAAAAGAGAGAAGATGAAATCTTTTCCAGAGTTAAAGTCTCAAAATAATCACAGATATAATCTCCCTGGTCAGCTCTGTCTGCTTTAAATTTTACTCACAAGTTCATTTTGAAAGCAGATGTGTAAGTAGCGTCTAGCTTTGCCCCCCCCCCCAAAAAAAATTAGAGCAAAGGCATCCTGGAATGTGGAGAACGCCTCAGACTCCATGGGAGCTCTCACCCTCCGACCTCCAAAGAAAAAAAAAACTTTGGGGTCTCTCGGGGAGCCCTGCCACTATCCGAGGGAAACTCATCTCCTCCCCTTCACCCAGGGAGAGAGATTCCAAGCCACGAGATGGCTGTTGCTCGCTGTCTCAGCTGGCTTTGACACATTCCAGGGCGGACGGCTGAGAACAGCCGCCATCGCCACCGCCGTCACAGGAACTTCTGAGATATTATCCAGTAAGTTAGGAGGTTATAGCTTTAGCTTGGCAAGATTCTGTCCATTGGGTGCAAAAACAAATAAAGAAGTGAACTCTATTCGTTGTGTCATCTCTAGGCCCAACACAATGCTAAAGATATGGTTGGATGAGAGAGAGAGAGAGAGAGAGAGAGAGAGAGAGAGAGAGAGAAAGAGTTAGATATAGATAATACACACACACACACACGCACACACACATATATACAGAGACACATATATATACATATACAGAAGATTCTATCCCCCAATGTATCTGCAGCAATTTGTAATGACCCCCACATAATGTGGTGAAACATCACACAAATACCATTATTATTATTATTATTATTATTATTATTATTATTATTATTATTATTATTATCATCATCATCATCATCATCATCATCATCATACACACTGCATCTTTTGCCACCTCTCTCCGATTTCAAAATATTTCAGGCTGTAAGAAACAAACTTGAATTTGGCCCTTACTCTTTTTGAGGTTTAGTTCCGAGAGCCACCCATTTCCATTCACTGTCAATATAACGCAATCCAATCCAGTAAGAACCATGTTTCGTCTTAATTGAGTCTTCTAAGAACCTCTGAAAGAAAAAAAGTCCACACGTCAGTTACAGTGAACAAAGGGGAGATTCTCACCTTATGGACCTTCCAAATCAGAGCCTCCCTAGAAGCATCAGGGGAGGAATGTGTAGAAGCAGCAGCAATGCAATCCGTGCGGTACAATCACAAAGAGTGGGGCAGATCAGATTCCCGAAAGAATGGAACCTCCAGGAGGAACCAAGCAGGCCTTTGGCTGAACCAGCAGAGCCACGAAAGCCACGATCAAACCTAGTCTATGGGCCATTCCGCATTTGCACGTAACCATGGTGAGAAATGACCAGGGAGCTGCCTTGTTCCACCCTTCCCCAAGTCCTTGTCTCATCTCCTCCTCAGCCCAGAACTCTTCCCTCATCCCTCTCTCTGGCCTTAGTTTGTCCCCATAAAATCCGCAACCACCTGCAGGCCATCCACAATGAACAGAATCTGATGCCCACTCAAGTCATCCCACAGGGGAGGAGGCACTGAGGTTGGTGAGAGCCTATCTGCTCGCCTTCTTTCCTTCTTCTGATCAGCTGCTCACTGCCCCTGCTTGGGGGCTTCCAGGAGGGAGGAGCCCTGCAACACTACCAGCCAGCAGGAAAGGCCAGGTCTCTCAACACTGGCAACACCTGTCCACACCTCCGCAATGGCTTTACGGAAGCCTCCTCGGTTGCAGCACAGAGTCTTCTTTCAGACTCCGCACAACTGTGGGCCCAAAAGCTCCATGGCAGCTTGCAGGGAGCTGCCACGCTTTGAGAGGGAAAGTGGAGCTTGGAAACAAAACAGCCTGAAACCCACGCTGACAAGGAGCCCCTCTGCAGCTCTGTTCAGCACCCATGCAGAGCTGCTGAGTGTTGGCACTGGTGCTTTCCTGTGTCAAGCCGTGGGTCCAAGCCTTCCACCCCCACCCCACCCAAGACCCATCTGATCCCTCTCCTGCACCCCTGGCCTGAAAGCACGGGGACAGCTTTCAATCAGATGTCTTGCTCTCCCCATTCTCCAGAGTCCATCAATGCAGGAGAGGGATCCGCGATGGGTACAGCCAATTTTAGGCTGGTGTCCTTTTCTGCCAAAATCAAGGCCAGGAGAGAGAAGGGCAGGGTGCTTACCTCCTCCACGTCATCAGTAATATCAGCTATGTAAGCTTTCGATTTATTGCATAGCTCCACTGTGCCCTCAAAACTCAGGGATCGGTAACCAAATAAATACAGGTGGCCCTTATAGGCTGTCCAGTCATGATTCAGTTTGTAATGAAGTTCAGCTTTGAACAAATTATCATTGGGACGTGAAGAGGGAAAGAAGAAAGAAAAATGAGAAGGACCACAGTTAGGCAAATTCTTTCATCCATTTTATTTAAAAAAAAATATTTTAAGAAAAAAGATGCTTTTTCACGAGGCAACTGGACTTTCTTGTTTTTCTTTTCAAGGTGTTTTGCTTCTCATCCAAGAAGCTGCTTCTTCTCTTTTGAAGAAAAGAAACGTCTTCAAAGAAAAACAAGAAAGTCCAGTTGCCTCATGATAAAGCATTATGGGACACCTAATTGGATACTTGCTGATAAGCAGGAGGCTAGATGGGAACAAGGGAAAGCTAACCATGAGCTTTGGGCGCGAAAACCCCAGATCCAGCTTTGCTTCTGCTGTAGCCACTTGCCTTAGGAAAGTGGACCTTTGGCTAATCATGAGCCTGAATGTCTCTCTTTTCTAACTGACCAAGTTGGGATAGCTGACAATCTGCCCAAGCAATGCTTTAAAAAACCAGCATGGTGCACTGCCCTAATCTGCGGGCCTGATTGATGGTGCCTATAAAATTGCAAACAACAACAACAACAAAAATAACCCTGCTTGGAGAATGCTGTCACTCTATCCGGCTTCTTAGTAATCACAATCTGTGGAAAAACTTACCAATCTCTGCTTGAAGTTCTTTGATCTTTTGAGCCCATGGAATCAACTGTCTTGCCACCTTCTCAGCTTCCATAATCAGGTCGGTATCTGAAACACACGCAGCAAGATCACCTCTTCAGATCCGAGGCTGCCTCCTGGGTTTATCAAGAATGTGTTTCCTTCCAATCCTCTGAAAGTATCTGTCAGTCTCTGCAACTAGGAAGTGTCTAAAGCAGACTGAGCAGCTCCTCAAGGACATTGTGACAAAGTTCAGTCAGAGTTTCCCATGGGGAATATTGACAGCTTCTGGAATCCCCCCCCCCCCAGTCTTTTTCCCTCTTCCTTAGTTTGTTCTGACATCATCCTGGGACTGAAAGTGTATAAGCAGCAGATGGATGCGAATGCTCCTTCCATTCTGATGGAACCCACCAATCTAGCTAGAGGAAGGAAAATTGGCTCGGTGGATTTGTGGACAGGAATGCACGTGCTCTTTCAGAGTGGGACTCTTTGCTTACCGTTAAGGGTGCCATACTCAGCATTCTGTGCAATCATATATTGCCTGATTTGGGCAACTGCCTGCCGAAGTGGATCCCGTTTTGCCTTTTCTTCAGCACCTGAAGGAGAGGTTTAATTACCACATAATAAGTTGGACTGAGAGCCATTTGGCATTGTGGTCAAAGTGGGAGAGCATGAAATCTTGTCCCACCTTGGGCACAAAGCCCTCGGGTGACCTTGGGCCAGTCACGTGGGCTCAGCCCTAGGAAGGCAGTAATGGCAACCCCCTTCTAAAAACCTGGCCAAGAGGTTATTTAATTAGACATCAGTTGATAAGAGATGGACTTAAGAAACAAACATGGATATTTGATCCAGGACAAATTACTCTTAACTTTTGATCCAATTTGAGATATATAAGAGATCATGGTAGATTTTTCACAAGTTGATTAAAATAACAGTTTGTTAACATAGGGTTTGGAAACTTTAATCTTGTGGTGTTCTTCTTCTTCTTGTTGTTAGGATTAATCTTCAATTCGAGGCTACCTGCAATTCTATTTTAGTTACATCAACAGCATCTGGAACTCCACCTCTCCCCCCCCCTCACCTTTACAGCCCAAGAAACGAGGCTGTTTCCCATGCCCCTGTGGCAGCTGCCAGCTAACCTGGCTCTTCTCCAGCCGTTGTCTGGCTTCTGATACTCCCTCCTTCTCCCACGCTCCTTCCGACATGCCTTTAGAGCAGTGGTTCTCAACCTTCCTAATGCCGCGACCCTTTAATACAGTTCCTCATGTTGTGGTGACCCCCAACCATAAAATTATTTTTGTTGCTACTTCATAACTGTAATTTTGCTACTGTTTTGAATCGTAATCTAAATATCTGATATGCAGGGTGTATTTTCATTGCTACGAATTGAACATAATTAAACATAGTGATTAATCACAAAAACAATATAGCAATGCTGGCTGGAGAAGCTTACTCTTCCTTGCTCAAAAATGTTGGGAGGGAGGGAAGGGGAAGGAAGGAAGATTGAAGGGGAAAGGAAGGAAGGAGAAAGAGATTGAAGAGGAAGGAATGGAGATGGAAGGAAGGAAGGAAGGAAGGAAGGAAGGAAGGAAGGAAGGAAGGAAGGAAGGAAGGAAGGAAGGAAGGAAGGAAGATTGAAAGGGAAAGGAAGGAGATGGGGAAGGAAAGAAGGAAGAGAGAGAGAGATTGAAGGGGAAGGGATGGAGATGGAAGGAAGGAAGAGAAAATTGAAGGGGAAAGGAAGGAGATGGAGAAGGAAGGAGATTGAAGGGGGAAGGAAGGAAGGAAAGAAGGAAGGAAAGAAGGAAGGAAGGAAAGAAGGAGAGAGAGATTGATGGGGAACGGATGGAGATGGAAGGAAGGAAGATTGAAAGGGAAAGGAAGGAGATGGAGAAGGAAGAAGATTGAAGGGGAAAGGAAGGAAGGAAGAGAGATTGAAAGGGAAGGGAAGGAGATGGAAGGAAGGAAGGAAGGAAGGAAGGAAGGAAGGAAGGAAGGAAGGAAGGAAGGAAGGAAGGAAGGATGGATCTTTGGAGAGTCATGTTTTCCCAGATGGTGACGAACTGCAACTCCCAGAATTCCCCACTCTTCCAGTGCTTTTTAGGGCTGCTGGAGATGGTAGTCTGGAGCCCCCCATCCTCATCCTGGCACCTCTTGCCCTCTTCCAGCCGCCCCCCCGGGACCTGCCCACCCCTCCAGCCTCCTGAGCGCCATCGCAGTGGTGGGATCGTGGGAGTCCCTTTCCACGCTGCGCAGCCCTTCACCACCACGACCTTTCCCCGACTCGTCACACGCGAGAGGGGCATGGCTGGAGCACCAGCTCCTGCTCGGAAAGCACCGCTTCTCCGCTCCCGGCCCGTCCGGCTGGTCTCCAATGCACATGGCTCTGTTCTGGGCCCAGTACTCTTCAACATCTTCATCAATGACTTGGATGAAGGGATAGATGGGGAACTCATCAAATTTGCAGACGACACCAAGCTGGCAGGAATAGCCAACACTCCAGAAGACAGGCTTCAGATACAGAAGGATCTGGACAGACTTGAACACTGGGCACTAAATAACAAAATGAAATTCAATGGTGAAAAAAGCAAGGTTCTACATTTAGGCAAGAAAAACCAAATGCACAAGTACAGCATAGGTGGCACCATGCTCAATAGTATTAACTGTGAGAGGGACCTCGGAGTCCTAGTAGACAATCACTTAAATATGAGCCAGCAGTGTGCTGCAGCTGCCAAAAAGGCCAACACAGTGCTAGGCTGCATTAACAGAGGGATAGAATCAAGATCACGTGAAGTATTAATACCACTCTTTAATGCCTTGGTAAGGCCACACTTGGAATACTGCATCCAGTTTTGGTCACCACGATGTAAAAAAGATGTCGAGACTCTAGAAAGAGTACAGAGAAGAGCAACAAAGATGATTAGGGGACTGGAGGCTAAAACATATAAGGAACGGTTGCTGGAATTGGGTATGTCTAGTTTAATGAAGAGAAGGACGAGGGGGGACATGATAGCAGTGTTCCAATATCTCAGGGGCTGCCACAAAGAAGAGGGAGTCAAGCTAGTCTCCAAAGCACCTGAAGGCAGGACAAGAAGCAATGGGTGGAAACTAATCAAGGAGAGAAGCAACCTAGAACTAAGGAGAAACTTCCTGACAGTTAGAACAATTAATCAGTGGAACAGCTTGCCTCCAGAAGCAGTAAATGCTACAACACTGGAAGTTTTTAAGAAGAGACTGGACAGCCATTTGTCCGAAATGGTGTAGGGTTTCCTGCCCGAGCAGGGGGTTGGACTAGATGACCTCCAAGGTCCCTTCCAACTTTACTACTATTATTATTATTATTTGGGCATTGCCCTCTTCCCCACCGCCTGGCTGCTTCTGAGGCCCAGAGCCTGACAAGCCAGGAAGGAGTTGCTCCTGCCCACCAGCCCCAGGGCCGTGCTGGGCGCCAGAGGGCCGAGGTGGCCTCTGACAGTGAGGGAGGTGGGCCGGGCAGTGCGGGGGAAAGCTCTGGCGTGGTGTGGAGGATGGCCAGGGTTGGAGCACGGGCAGGAGGCATGGGGATTGGCTCGGCGCCGCAGCTCAGCTCAGCTCAGCTAGCAGCGGCAGCAGTGGCGGAGCAGCCCAGCGGCAGCGGCAGCAGTGGCCCAGACCCGGCTCGGCTCGGACTGGCCACCAACGCAGCTTAGCCGGCCCGGGGTGCGCGTGTCAAGCCCCTGGGCTTGCCGTGAGCTGGGAGACGGGGAGGACGCAACCAGCAGCAGGCCGACGTCCGCATGGCCCCCATGAGCACCGCCCGACTTCCAACAGTCAGCTGGGAGTCAGATCGGCGTCCGGACGTCGGTGGGGAACTGGCGGGCCACTACACACCGCCCGGCTCCCGACAGCCAGCTGAGAGTTGGCCCAGCGTGCGCACGTCAGCTGGGAGTTGGCCCAACCTCCACTTTTCGGCCAGACTCCTGGGAATCAGCTGGGAGTCATCCTGGCTCCCAGCCAGCAGCTGGGAGTCGGCATGGCCGCCGCGGGATGGTGCTGTGGCGGCAGGAGCAAGCGCTGTCGGAGGAGAAGAGCACCCAGGAGAAGCCGGCGGAGGAGGAGGAGCCGGAGGAGGAGGAGGTGACCCCTGTGAAAGGGTCGCCGACCCCCAAAAGAGTCGCGACCCACAGGTTGAGAACCGCTGCTTTAGAGACTCTCAGCGTGGATAAATTTATTGGATAAAATTAAAGACTTACATAAACTGATATACCAAATGGTATACAAAATTAGACAGAAGACCATGACGATGCCGAGCATTGCACAATTGTAGCCTTTGAGACATTCTTCTATTTTCGTTGGGGTGCCTGTGTTTTGAAAAGGAAGCCTTGATTAGAAATGTTCTGAGGAGGTAACAATAAGGATTGTTGTTGTCCATCTTCATAATGCATTTTCACTTGCAGTGAGACCCTGATCTGCAACTGCCCCAGAACTGGGCCCTCAATGGGCAAACCTGTTCATGAAGAAGCCTTCATGAAGTGCTCACCTTTGGAGGAGATGTCCAATCTGCCTTTCACTCTATGGTGGTGGCCGTAGATTATAGACATGACGTCCACCTCAAGCGTCACTGGGTAAGCAGGGAGCAGAGCTGGCACACACCCCTGAAGGGTTCAACAGCACCCAGACCAAGATAGATAGGGCTTTGGACCTAATTGCTCCTCAACTTCTTGGGTTGACACAGCCTCACGTGCTTCCCTTCCCTTCTCCCAGGAAGTCTCCGTGGCTGAGGATGGTCTTCCATCACTACCCCACCCCTTCACCACTAGCCCATCCTGTGTGCTTTCATTCTGCCCAAGAGCCCAAAGCAGCCAGCTTAACGTAGCACCACCGCTGGGACCAACTCTGCTCACCCTCGGCAGACCAATGGCTGGCCTTGGGCAACAAACGTTCTTAGGCATGCCTGAAGCCCCCCATAGAAAGATGATTAACCATAGCCAAATTGGGACGGGGGCTTCTTCCCTTAGGAGAGAGCCCTTCTCTGTCTCTCCCTTGTAATGAAACACCTCAGTGTTTGCTCCTTCCAACAGAAATGGCTTCCCTCATCTCCCCCCTGCTACTGGGGGCCTCAAAGGTTTTGGTGGGCTGTGCTGGGGGTCCTCCTCTGAGGAGACCCTCCTCCCCCTGTGCTTCCTCTGGCAGCATCCCAGGATGAGCAGGGGGTCTCCATTCCTTCTCTACCTGGAAAGGATCCTGGTCCTCTCTTCCCTCGGACCTCTCCTCTAGGACGGGGCTCCTTGCCACTGCTTGGCATGCGTCCCCACAACCATCCAGGTGATGGAAGGCTGTGGGGAGGCTGCTCCAAGGACAGACTTGATGGATCACCAGGTTCTTTAAGAACAGTTTGGGCCCCCAAACCTGATTTACTACACAGATTTTTTTCTGATTCATACTTACGTTCAGGTTTCGCTGGACCTGGAAAAAATGACAGAAAACAATTTGACCACCAATATGTCAAATAGGATCAGCCCCAAGCTAGTGTCCGACCAAGAATCCTATCTCCAAAATGTCAACATCTGCCTAAAAGCCTTAATGAGGAGGCTTTGTTTTACTGGTTGAGAAGCTGCAGGAATTCCATTGCAATCAAGGAGGAGGTGGAGGAGGAGGAGGAGCAGGAGGAGGAGTTGGAGGAGGAGGAAGAAGAGGAAGAAGAAGAAGAAGAAGAAGAAGAAGAAGAAGAAGAAGAAGAAGAAGAAGAAGAAGAAGAAGAAGAAGAAGAAGAAGAAGAAGAAGAAGAAGAAGAAGAAGAAGAAGAAGAAGAAGAAGAAGAAGAAGAAGAAGAAGTCGACTAAGCTCTACTAGTTGCCTTCTGCAGATAAGTAATTCAGTTTTAACATGATGCTTAGGGTAAACATAAGTCCACCATACAAGAAAGCAGAAAAATAAAAAAAATGAAAACAACATTTACCAAACAATAATGAATTAATTAAAAAGAACACAAAACACAAGCAAACTCAGAGGACAGACGTCAATGGACCACCAGGTCTTTTTCTGACATTACCGGACTTACTGGATGGATTATCAGATGCATAGTTACCTGCTGGGCTTTTTGCTGGAGTTAGAAAAAAACAGAAAACAAACTGAGCTCCAATATGTCAAACAGGACCAGCCCCAGGACGACAAGGACAAAGAGGAGGACCAGAAGGAGGACCAGGAAGAGGAGGAGGACTGTGGGGTCCTTGGTGTTCTCTGAGCTTGGTAGTTTCCTTGCAGACATTTCATTACCTAAATATGTATCATCTTCTGTGCTAGAAGGGAATGGGGTTTGAGGAGGAGGACGAGGACAAGGACAAGGACAAGGACAAAGAGGAGGACCAGGAGGAGGAGGACGACTGTGGGGTCCTTGGTGTTCTCTGAGCTGGGTGGGTTCCTTGCAGACATTTCATGACCCAACTAGCTCATCAGTGCTAGTAGGGAGTGGTGGTAGTGGTGGTGGTGGTGGTGGTGGTGGAGGAGGAGGAGGAGGAGGAGGAGGAGGAGGAGGAGGACGACGACGACGACAAGACAAAGAGGAGGACCAGGAGGAGGAAGACTGTGGGGTCCTTGGTGTTCTCTGAGCTTGGTAGTTTCCTTGCAGACATTTCATTACCTAAATATGTATCATCTTCTGTGCTAGAAGGGAATGAGGTTTTAGGAGGAGGAGGAGGACAGGGAGGAGGAGGAGGACAAAGATCAGGACCAGGACCAGGACCAGGACTGTGGTGTCCTTGGTGCTCTCTAAGCTTGGTGGTTTCCTTGTAGACATTTCATGACCCAATTAGGTATTCTCTTCTGTGCTAGAAAGGAGTGGTGAAGGAGGAGGAGGAGGAGGAAGAGGAGGAGGAGGAAGCAGCTTAAGCACTATTAGTCCCAGATAAGTAATTGAGCTTTAACATGAGGCTTGGGATAAACACACATCCACCATCCAACAGAGTGAAAACGTTTTAAAAAAATGAAAATAACAATTTACAAAGTAATAATGAATGAATTGAAAAGAACACAAAACACAAGCAACCTGAAAGGACAGACTTCGATGGAGTAGGAGGAGGAGAAAGAGGAGGACTGTGGGGTCCTTGTTGCACTACTTGGGCACTGAAACATCTGCAAGAAAACAGCCAAGCTCAGAGACCACTATGGAACCCACAGTTTGGGGTGGGATATCTTCAATATGCTCATGATATCATTCATTCTTCTGGACCCCAGAAAGATCAAGTGACAATGTCAAAGTCCTGATCCAGTGTCAGGAAACTGGGTGGGCCTAAATGGGGGTGAGCAGATTATCTTTATTTGACCGATGGTCTTGTTCTGAAAACATTCCAACTTTGGTCCTGAGATGGCTTGTACCTATTTATTTATTTCAATTTACATGCCAGCCATCTCACTATCCAAAGCAACTTGCTATCCATTCAAGACTTGTGCACAGTCTGGGGGTTCCCTTGGAGTCCCATTGCTTACTTGAAGAGACCAGACCAGTCTTTCTGGAAGCAAACTGGCAACCACCACGGCTTGCAAAGTAGGGCTGTTATAAGAGCATCCTGAGCCATACCCATAATTGCCTGTGCTGCTCTCTTCTGGATTAGGTGAAGCTTCTGGACGGTATTCAAGACCTTCACCAATTAGAGCATGTTGCAGTAGCCAGGCCATGGGAAGGAATAACTTTCTGAAGGACCTCCTGATCTAGGAAAGGGCACAACTGGTGCACCAGGTGGAATTGTGCAAGACTTCCTGGCCACAGGTGTCACCTGTTCACCAAGCAGTGGCTCTTTGTCCTGGAAGACTCCCAGATCTTTCATTCACACATTCTGGGTTCTTCCTTCCCCATTGCAGCAAGTCAGCAAATGGTCTCCAAGATCCTCCCAAGAAGGAAGTCTACCGGTAGGGCACACTGACATTCTCATACATGGCCTAGGGTCTCCTGCTTGAACAAGGACTAGAAGACCTCCAAAGTCCCTTCCAACTATGATGATGAGGATGGTGGTGATGATAATGATGACATATTTTGAGGAAAAGATGGCAGGTAAGATAGCTTACCTTTTGCTGCTGGTGGTTTGGGAGCCATTTTACCTGATCAGCGCATGTAGCATATCATCCCAATGTGTACAGCTGGAGAATGGAGCAGATTGTGAGATTTAATGTAAGTGGAAATCCAAACATTTTGGTTAAAAAGAGAAAGTGGTCAGCGAAATGGAGACAGCTTAGAATTGACTCATATCTCCTAAGCTGGGTTATATGTGGATGCTCCAACACTGGAGTTTTTAAGAAGAGATTGGACAACCATTGTCTGATATGGTATAGGACTTCCTGCTTGAACAGGGGTTTTGACTAGAAGACCTCCAAGATCCCTTCCAATTCTATTGTTCTGTTCTTTTCTGTTTTACTCTGCTCTGCTCTACTCTACTCTACTCTACTCTACTGTACCTGATTCTCTTTCCCCATTGGTAAAGGGTGGTGGGCATAGGAACAGGATACCTACCCAAACTCTGGACTCTTAGTCTACTACCAGGATTGCACTGTGACTTGGAGCTGCGCTGGACTTAACTCTTTGTGTCTTCAGCTGGATCTTCCTTCTGACAGTTTTTGACAGTTTGTTCCCTTATGATGTAGAATATTCAACTTCTGCCGGTCTCCCATTGGCTGGCTGCTGGGCCCAATCAACATCCAGCACTTAGCCTTCAGTTTCCTCCTTTGACCCCCCCCCTTTCTCCTCCTCCTTTTAACTTTTGTCATTCACATTTCCCTCTGTCCCTCCTTTTGTGTCCTTTCTTTAATGATTCCATCCCAGCGTTTCTTTCATATTAATGTAATTCTTGTCCTGCTGTGAGTTGTCCTGCTGCAAGTTGTGCAGTCTCCTTACCATGGTTAGATGCGAATGTAGGGTGACCCATACGCCACATTTGATAGTTCCCCCCCCTACTCCGAGCCGTGCACCAAGAGGAGGAGCTATTCCTGGTTGCCTTATTGCATCAGGAACTGGGCACACCCTGGTCTCTTCTAATTGTGCTTTATGGGTTGCATTACTGCTTCCCCAGGTTCCCCCACCCATGTTCCTGGGGCGGCTCCCATCCGGGAGTTCCTAGAGTGAGATTCCCTCCCTCCTTCACTCTAAACAATTGCTGGTTTTCCTAGTTCAGGTGTTCCCAGACAGAGATGTTCTAAAGAGACATCGCCCTCCCTGGATAAGACTGGCTTAGAGTAGACCTAAAGCAGCGGTTCTCAACCTGTGGGTCGCGACCCTTTTGGGGGTTGAACGACCCTTTCACAGGGGTCGCCTAAGGCCATTGGAAAACATATTCCCGATGGTCTTAGGAACTGAGACACTGCTCCGCATCCGTCTCCGCACGGCCTTCTCCGCCATTTGCAGAGAGAGAGACCGAGAGGCACTTTCACTTCCCTTCTCTCTCTCTCTCAGGCGGACTTACCTCCTGCAGGGCTCCTGATTGGTCCTGCGCCCGGGTGCCCCACCCACTGGGAGAAGCGCAGCCAGGGCCTCGTGGCCTTGGAGCTGCCCGGGGAAGCCCCGGGATCCCTGCTCGGAGCGGCCCGCTGGAGGCTCCGCTGAGCGGGCCAGTTTTCCCGCAAGCCACGGCCCAAGGGAGACCAGCCCCTGCGATCCCCAGCCAGCCTGACCATTGGACCCGCTGGCCAGGAAGGTGCATCGGAGTCCAGGCTGCCGGGAAGGAAGAAGGAGATTCAGCAAAGGTAGGACAGGAGAGCCGCCTCCTGGAGCCCAGCGCTGCCGGCGGCTTCCTTGCCATCCTCTTCCCTTCTTCCTCCTACTGCCTCCAAGGCAGCTCGGGCGGGTGCTGGGGCAAGAGGGGTGCCTGGGGGGAGCAGCCGGGCTGGCAGAGGGGCTGGTGGGCCATGTGGCACCAGCCCCCACTGCGGTTCCATCGGATGGGCAGAGGGCGAGGCCAGGCAGTGCAAAGTCCTGGCTGGGATGGCGGCAGCAGTTTTCTCGCCCTTCTCCTCTCCTTCTTCCTCCTGCTTGCCCCCAAGGCAGCTCGGGCAGGCGCCAGGAGGAAGAGGGGTGCCTGGGGGGGAGCAGCCGGGCTGGCAGGCCGCGTGGGGACCCCCGACGATGCAGCAGTTGCCTCCGCCAGCGGTGCCGCTGCCTCCCGTCCTGCTCCCCCTCCCCGCCCGTTCAGCTGAGGACGCAGCGGAGGCTGGGCCAGGGGCGGAGGAGACCCCCGACGATGCTGCCATAAGAGAGGAAAGAGAGAGAAACAGAGGAAAATAGAGAGGAAAGAAAGAGAAAGGGAGGAAACAGAAAAGAGAGAGAAAGAAAGAGGAAAGAGAGAAAAAGAGAGAAAGAGAGAGAGAGGAACGAGAGAAACGGGGAGAGGAAAGAGAAAGAGGAAAGAGGGACAGAGAGAAGAGAGAGAGGAAAGAGAGAAAGAGAGAGAGAGGAAAGAAAGAAAGGAAAGAGAAAGAGAAAGAGAGAAACAGGAAAAGAGAGGAAAGAGTGAAAGAGAAAGAGGGAGAAAAGAGAGAGAAAGAGAAAGAGGAAAGAGAGAGAAAGGGAGGAAACAGAGCAAGAGAGAGAGGAAAGAGAGAGAGAAAGAGGGAGAGGAATGGCGCTTCTCCAACCAGGCTGGGCGGAGCTGGCGGAGCAGCCTTCCTGCCCCCCCTCCCCGGCCAGCTGGATGGGGGGTTGGGGGTCACCACAACATGAGGAACTGTATTAAAGGGTCGCGGCATTAGGAAGGTTGAGAACCACTGGACTAAAGGGAGAGGGGAAGAACCTGACTCTTGTGCGTCAGAATGTAGGTGTGTAATCCATGTTTGCTTCTTTCAGCCTGAAATGGCTTCACCCCAGAGAGACATGGAAGGAGATGCAATCTCTGGGATCGCCATTCAGTTGCTGTTAAAAAAAAAAGACATAAATATATCATAATGGCATTTGAATGGTGATGTCACCATAGCTGTGCAATTAATTTGAGGCTGTGTAGTTTGCTGCAGACATAGTCCCTCGCAAAAAAACCCCCAAACCTCCTCACCCTCATGGGTGGCCTGTGTCTTCCCCAATTTGAGGTCCTCTGCCACAGTTTGAGGGTTCTTCACTGTCCCTTCACTCTTCCAGACAGACACTGGGGTCGTTCCTGGGATCGGAGCCCCTCTCCCGCTAAGGAGTCCCAGCCCTGAGCGCTCCTACTCTGGCTTTGACTTTCAACATCCTCCTTCAAACCCTGGTTCTTCTCCCGCTTCCCATCCTCCTCGTTCCTGGTGTGCCTGTCCCTTGGCACTGCTACCTCTATCAGCACTGCTGGTCCTTGTCTGGATGATGTCTGGAGGTGAAACTCAAACCAGTTTAACTGCTGCCTCTCTAGAAATCTTCCTCCATAAAGGCGTGCCGGATTTCCAGACCCAACAGCCTGTTTCCTGAAATAAAGCCAAGCGAGAATGAGAAGGAACAAAGAATGGCTCGGTCTTCCTCAAGCTCTGCAGAGTCCCCACTATGTGTCGCTAATAGGTGGGGGAGGCTCTATCGCAGTGCTTCTCAACGTTTGTGTGACGGCGACCCCCGTCACACAAACGTTCTGCGCATGCGCAGCGACGCACGCATGGGGGTGGGGCCCCTATGCGCAACGCGCATGTGCGATGCCCCCCCATGCGCGACGCACGTGCACAGCGCCGCCCCATGCGCAACACGCATGCGCGACGCCCCCATGCGCGGGGCGCGTGCACGGGGCCACCCCCATGCGCAGCGTGCATGTGCGGCGGCGCTCCCATATGTGGCGTGCGTGCACGGCACCGCAAAAAATGGCGGATAGCCACCTTTGGCGACCCCCCAAAATGGTCGATCGACCCCAAATGGGGTCGCGACCCATAGGTTAAGAACCGCTGCTCTATCGGCTGCGGATTGAGTTCCAGGGGCTGGTTTTGACTAGGGTTGGCCCCGCAGGATCCCCTTTGTTTGCCCGGATCAGTCAGACCAGCTAGGGTGGTCCTACCAAGTGGCCACGTTCAGCAGGTCTGGGGCAGAGGAAAGTTTAGTGCCCCAGTTGTGACAACATTGTGGAATTGCCTCCCGGAGGAGATTAACTTGGTCTCCTCTTGGTGGACATTTCTGAAATTGTTGGAGATGGAGCTGTGTGAGAGAGACATCCGCTGGTTTTACGATGTCTCAGTTTTTCAGCTTTCCCGTTTGTCTTTTTGTTTAGTGATGCTTTTCTTGTTCTTGTTGAGCCTCTCATGTGGTTTGGTGTATTAAAACACTATGGATGTTGCGAACCCTTCTTTTGTATTCTATGTCTGCCAAGGACCTTTTGAATGCAGCAGAGTAGAGATGTGATACATCAAACCTCCATAATGACTTGGATGGCAAATCCTGGGATGGAGGGTGGGGTGCACATGGGCCCTGGGGGGCTTTCAATACTCCAGCATGTAATTCTATTTATTTATTTAAAGATTTATATGGCCGCCCACTCACCCTCAATGACTCTGGGCAGTTTACAAACAATAAAGCTGAACTAAATAGAATGAGTACAGAAAAGACAGTTTCTTTTTTCATTCTTTTTTACTTGCCCCTGAATTTGCTAAATAAGACCATATCTTTGATCTCCGAAAAGGCAGGATGGAAAAGGTGTTTGGAAGCTGATGTCAAAGTCCTGAGTTCTTCCATGTCTCCACACTGGCTGACTGGGGCAACTGTTTTTCAGAGGCAGGTTCACCGAGTGGCATTTCTTTCTCACTGGGTTCATCAAGTACAATTTTGTGCAACGTTCAGTAAAGAGCTAGTTTATCCATTTGGTCTCAGGTTTCCTCTTGCAAATGCCTCTTCCCTCATTGACACAATCCACAGTGTACCAACATGCCAATTGTGTATTACATTTATTTTGCAATCTTGTACATTTAGGACGCCCATGTCTGTATGGTTCGTCTTCCATCCAGTAGCTGGAAAGAAGAAACAACCATCATCAGTTTCCAGACAAAATAAGTATCATTTATAGACTTTGGAGCAGGAAATAAATGTTGGATCCATTCACCTTTTTCCCTCACCTCAATGGGAGTTTCCAACAACTCCAAATGTTGGTCTGTGGTTGTTTTGGCAGAGAAATAGAGGTGGAGTTCACCAAAATCTTGGCAACACATCTCCCCCTCCATCCTCTTGAACAGACCTTGGCAAAAGATTACGGATCTCTAGGCAACCGTTTTATAAAAATGGGCCATGGCACCCTTCTTGGTTGCTTTGGGCATTGAGGCTTGGGGAGAATTCTGTACACACACACATACATACATACATACATACATACATACATACATACACACACACACATATATATACACATATATATAATAATAAAAATAATAGTAAAGTTGGAAGGGACCTTGGAGGTCATCTAGTCCAACCAATATATATATGAGTAATAGCGTTAAAAATATGAACCCTGGATATATTCATGTTTAAAAGAAAATGAGCACCAGGGTAGTTAAAACTATAAAAATTTAGTTAAAAAACGCCAAGCTTTCGCCATCTCCTGCCGGCATCATCAGGGCTTAAAACGCTAGGAAGTGAGGAAGTCCCTTTATAAGTGAGCTAAGGTCTGCGCCCGGCTCTTTGATCTTGTTACCAGACCTAATTGGGTGGATTGCGCTCTGGTAAACCATTTCTTATTGCACCACTTATCTATGTGTACATTATCACCTGTCTTCTTTTCCTTGGGTTCTAGGATAGGTGGGACACCCTCCCTATCCCCCTGGTTATTCCCATCCCCTATTTTTCTTTCTCGCTGGGACTTTTTTGATGATTTACATTCTCTCTTTTTCTTTTCCCCCCCCAATTCACACCCATGCAGCTGTCGTCTCTATGGGTGTCCTTTCTTTCTGTAATGCCTCCCACTCGTACATTGTTGTTACTAGGGCGGTCCTAGTATATATGTTTTCTGAGGTTTTCGCGGGTGTTTGTATGTAGGTCTTTGGTTGTTCAGGTTTTCTCCCACGTAAAATTGGAAGTGTCTTGGCGATGTTTCGACGAAGTCCCATTCGTCATCTTCAGGCTGGTGTTTTCAGCTTCGTGCTTCGTCGAAACATCGCTAAAACACTTCCAATTTTACGCAGGAGAAAACCCAAACAACCAAAGACCTACATATATATATATATATATATATATACACACACACACACACACACACACACACATACACACACACATACACACACACACACACATACACACACATGCATATACAGATAAAAGTTTCTATCCCCCAATCTATCTGCATCAATTTGTAACGACTACCACATAATGTGATGACAACATCATAAATACCATTATTATTATTGTTGTTGTTGTTGTTGTTATGCACACTGCATCTTCTGCCACCTCTCTCAAATTTGAAGATATTTCAGACTATAAGAAACAAACCTGAATTAGGCACTTACGTTTTTTGAGGCAAACTGTCAGGCATCACCCATCTCCATGTCCTGTTAATATAATACAATCCAATCCAGTAACTACCATATTTGTGTTTAGTTGCATGTTCTAAGAACCTCTGCAAGAAAAAAATCCACACATTATTTACAGTGAATGCAGGGGAGATTCTCACCTTAAGGACGTTCAGAACCCTCAACCACCTGCAGTCCATCCACAATGAATACAATCTGATGCCCACTCAGGTCACCCCACGGTGGAGGAGGAAGTCAGGTTGGTGAGGGCACATCTGCTCGCCTTCTTTCCTTCTTCTGATCAGCTGCTCACTGCGCCTGCTTGGGGGCTTCCAGGAGGGAGGAGCCCTGCAACACTACCAGCCAGCAGGAAAGGCCAGCTCTCTCAGCACTGGCAACACCTGTCCACACCTCCACAATGGCTTTACGGAAGCCTCCTCGGTTGCAGCACAGAGTCTTCTTTCAGACTCAGCACAACTGTGGGCCTAAAAGCTCCATGGCAGCTTGCAGGGAGCTGCCACGCTTTGAGAGGGCAAGTGGAGCTTGGAAACAAAACAGCCTGAAACCAACACTGACAAGGAGCCCCTCTGCAGCTCTGTTCAGCACCCATGCAGAGCTGCTGAGTATCGACACTGGTGCTTTCCTGCGTTAATCCCCACCGTCAAGCCGTGGGTCCAAGCCTGCCACCCCCACCCCACCCAAGACCCATCTGAGCCCTCTCCTGCACCCCTGGCCTGAAAGCACGGGGACAGCTGTCAATCAGATGTCTTGCTCTCCCCGTTCTCCAGAGACCATCAATGCAGGAGAGGGATCCGCGATGGGCACAGCCAATTTTAGGCTGGTGTCCTTTTCTGCCAAATCAAGGCCAGGCTGACAGTGGAGACAAAGCAAAAGCCGAAGGGAAAAATCTCAAAGTCATTCCATCAGGAGAGGGAGAAGGGCAGGGCGCTTACCTCCTCATCGTCATCCTGAACATCGGCTATTGAAGCTTGCGATTTATTGCATAGTTTTATTGTGTCCTGAAAATTCAGTTTCTCGTAACTAAATAAATACAGGTGGCCGTTGTGGGCCTGCCAGTTGTGATTCAGTTTGTGATGAAGGTCGGCTTTGAGACAAATTGGGACGTGAAGAGGGAAAGAAGAAAGAAAAATGAGAAGGACCACTGTTAGGCAAATGCTTTCGTCCATTTTTTTTTTTTTTTTTTTAAAACATTTTAAGAAAAAAAAGCACATAGGGCATAAATAAAGTTTTCAAAGTGTTTTCCTTCAGCGACATGTCAATCTGAGAATTCTTGGCTTCCTTGCTTTTCATTATAAGATGGCCAGATTACAAAAGGAGATCCGTAATCTGAACCACATCTTTTCCACCTGCAAAAATGTCTGTGAGGTGTCTTAGCTGATAGTGATTGGGGGAGACGGGGCAGAGAAAAAAGAATTAGAAAGTAATGCAAAAGGGAAAGAGCTGCGGGAGAAAAATTACAAGTCCTGCATGAAAAATATTCAAATCTAAATATAGATTTATATTTATATTTCAGACAAAGAGTTGCCCAGTCCCTTAATTGCATATGTATAGACATAGTTTTATGACTAAGACGTTTCGCTTCTCATCCAAGAAACTTCTTCAGCTCTTCAGCTCTTCTTCAGCTGAAGGAGAGAAACGTCTTCAAAGAAAAACAAGAAAGTCCAGTTGCCTCGTGAAAAAGGATTATGGGACACCCATTTGGATACTTGCTGATAAGCAGGAGGCTAGATGGGAACAAGGGAAAGCTAACCATGTGCTTTGGGCGCGAAAACCCCAGATCCAGCTTTGCTTCTGCTGTAGCCACTTGCTTTAGGAAAGTGGACCTTTGGTTAATCGTGAGCCTGAACGTCTCTCTTTTCTAACTGACCAAGTTGGGATAGCTGACAATCTGCCCAAGCAATGCTTAAAAAAAACCAGCATGGTGCACTGCCCTAATCTGCGGGCCTGATGGATGGTGCCTATAAAATTGCAAAAACCAAAAAATAACCCTGTCTCGGAGAATGCGATCCCTTTTTCCAGCTTCTTATTAATCACAATCTGTGAAAAACTTACCAATCTCTATTCGAATTTCTTGGATTTTTTGAGACCATGGAATCAACTGTCTTGCCACCTTCTCAGCTTCCACAATCAGGTCGGTATCTGAAACACACGCAGCAAGATCACCTCTTCAGATCCGAGGCTGCCTCCTGGGTTTATCAAGAATGTGTTTCCTTCCAATCCTCTGAAAGTATCTGTTGGTCTCTGCAGCTTGGAAGTGTCTAAAGCAGACTGAGCAGCTCCTCAAGGACATTGTGACAAAGTCCAGTCAGAGTTTCCGATAGCTTCTGGAATCCCCCCTCCCTGTCTTTTTCCCTCTTCCTTAGTTTGTTCTGACATCATCCTGGGACTGAAAGTGTATAAGCAGCAGATGGATGCGAATGCTCCTTCCATTCTTTTTTTTTATAACAAGTTTTTATTGCTTTTCCAGTTTTACATTTAAGTATTTGGAAAGCAGCATGGTGATTGGGTAGTCAATAGTACAATAACAAAATAATAATAATAATAGTAAAGTTGGAAGGGACCTTGGAGGTCATCTAGTCCAACCCCCTCCTCAGGCAGGAACCCCTACACCATTTCGGACAAATGGCTATCCAGTCTCTTCTTAAAAACTTCCAGTGTTGGAGCATTCACCGCTTCTGGAGGCAGGCTGTTCCACTGATTAATTGTTCTCACTGTCAGGAAGTTTCTCCTTAGTTCTAAGTTGCTTCTCTCCTTGATTAGTTTCCACCCATTGCTTCTTGTCCTGCCTTTAGTACTAATATGTACTAATCTTTAGTACATATCTCAGGTTGCGTCATCAAAAAAATTCCTTCTCTATTTTTCTTACCATTTACTATATTATATTTAAGCTAATAGTTTTCTAATTATAACAACCTCAGTTAAAACATTTATCCTGATATTTTTGCTTATCCATATCCTGTATTTAAATTTTACCTAATTTTTAATTAGAATATTCCAATTTAACCTTTAATATCCATAGTATTTAAATTCTGGGTAATCCAAATTTCCTTTATTTCACTCTATAAATATTATAATATCTAAAATACACCTATTACTTACTTGAATATATTCTTTTTTTATTTCATAAACATTTTCTATTTCTCATCCTAGCACATCACTATTTACTAACGGAGTATCCTTCATTGTCTCAAATCCATCGTCCGTGTTATCTGGGCTAAACAGTGATTCGCAGCTATTCCCTAATAGTTAATTTTCATTTCCTTTATGAATCTAAATCCTAATATTAATCCCTTATTTTTTTTATCATTTCCCAGCAATAGTTAAATCAAATCATCATATTTCCCTTCATCTCAGAATCTTCCTTCAGCCCATTAGTTGAGACTTTAGGATCCTCTCTAATAAATAAAAAGACCCCATTTTTAAAATCTAACTCTAGCTTTCTTTTTATGCCAACCAAGCTTCCATACCAATGCCTCTAGCTAGAGGAAGGAAAATTGGCTCTGTAGCTTTGTGGACAGGAATGCATGTGCTCTTTCAGAGTGGGACTCTTTGCTTACCATTAAGGACGTCATACTCAGCATTCCGTGAAATCATAAATTTCCTGATTTGTGCAACTGCATTCCGAAGTGGTTCCCGTTTTGCCTTTTCAACAGCACCTGAAAGAGAGGTTTAATTACCACATAATAAGTTGGATTGAGAACCATTTGGCTTTGTGGTCAAAGCGGGAGAGCATGAAATCTTGTCCCACCGTGGGCACAAAGCCCTCTGGGTGAAATAACAGTTTGTTAACAGAGGGTTTGGAAACTTTAATCTTGTGGTGTTCTTCTTCTTCATCTTGTTAGGATTAATCTTCAATTCAAAGTTACCTGCAATTCTATTTTAGTTACATCAACAGCATCTGAAACTCCATCTCTTCCCCCCTTCACCTTTGCAGCCTAAGAAATGAGGCTGTTTCCCATGCCCCTGTGGCAGCTGCCAGCTAACCTGGCTCTTCTCCAGCCATTGTCTGCTTTGGATACTCCTTCCGTCTCCCACGCTCCTTCCCACATGCCATTAGAGACCCTCAGCATGGATAAATTAATTGGATAAAATTAAAGACTTACATAAACTGATATACCAAAGGGTGTACAAAGACAGAGAGAAGAGCATGAGGATACCGAGCGTTGCACAATTGTAGCTTGCAAGACATAATTCTAATTTGGAAGGGGTGCCTGTGTTTTGAAAAGGAAGCCTTGATTAGAAATGATCTGAGGAGGTAACAATAAGGATTGTTGTTATCCATCTTCATAATGCATTTTCACTTGCAGTGAGACCCTGATCTGCAACTGCCCCAGAACTGGGCCCTCAATGGGCAAACCTGTTCATGAAGAAGCCTTCATGAAGTGCTCACCTTTGGAGGAGATGTCCAATCTGCCTTTCACTCTATGGTGGTGGCCGTAGATTATAGACATGACTTCCACCTCAAGAGTCACTGAGTAAGCAGGGAGCAGAGTTGGCACACACCGCTGAAGGGTTCAACAGCACCCAGACCAAGAAGGAACCGATAGATTGGGCCTTGGACCTAATTGCTCCTCAACTGTCTTGGGTTGACACAGCCTCACGTGCTTCTTCCTTTCTCCCAGGGAGTCTCCGTGGCCGAGGCTGGACTTCCATGTCTCTTATACTACTCCACCCCTTCACCACTAGCCCATCCTGTGTGCTGTCACTCTGCCCGAGAGCCCAAAGCAGCCAGCTTAACGTAGCACCACCACTGGGACCAACTCTGCTCACCCTCAGCAGACCAATGGCTGGCCTTGGGAAACAAACATTCTTAGGCATGCCTGAAGCCCCCTGTAGAAAGACAATTAACCATAGCCAAATTGGCAAGGGGGCTTCTTCTCTTAGGAGAGAGCGCTTCTCTGTCTCTCCCTTGTAATGAAACACCTCAGTGTTTGCTCCTTCCGCCGGAAATGGCTTCCCTCAGCTCCTCCCTTCTACTGGGGGCCTCAAAGGTTTTTGTGGGCCGTGTTGGGAGTCCTCCTCTGAGGAGACCCTCCTCTCCCTCTGCTTCCTCCGGCAGCATTCCAGTATGAGCAGGGTTTCTCCATTCCTTCTCTACCTGGAGTGGATCCCGGTCCTCCCTTCCCTCGGACCTCTCCTCTCACTCCCTGCCACTGCTTGGCACAAGTCCCACAACCATCTGGGTGATGGAAGGTTGTGTGGAGGGTGAATCTGCACCAGGGCTAGGAAGACGCTCAGAGGGGCAAATGCAGCCAATTCCAAATTCCTGGGCAGCTGAAGTGCTATTAGTAGCTTTCTGTAGATAACCTACTTGAAGGACGCTTGGGATAAACACATGTCCACCATCTGACGAAAGTGAAATAAATAAATAAATATAAAAATAATTACAGAATAATAAATAAAATTAAATTTAAAAAGAAAACCCAAAAATAAGCAAGCTCCAAGTAACCTGTAACAGACCTTTCTGATGCATACTTACGTGGAGGTTTCTCTGGACCTAGAAAAATGACAGAAAACAATTTGACCACCAATATGTCAAATAGGATCAGACCTGGGCTAGTGCCTGACCCAAGAATCCTATCCCAAAACCTCAACGTCTGCCTAAAACCTCATCAAGCAGGCAGCCTTAATGAGGAAGCTTTGTTTTACTGGTTGAGAAGCTGCAGGAATTCCATTCCAATCAACGAGGAGGAGGAGGAGGACTGTGGGATCTTTGGTGCTCCCTGAACTTGGTTGTTTTCTTGCAGATGTTTCATTGCCCAACTAGGTAACAACATCACTGCTAGAAGAGGGGGTTTCAGGAGGAGGAGGAGGAGGAGGAAGCTTAAGCACTATTAATTGCCTTCTGCAGATAAATAATTGAGCTTTAACCTGATGCTTCGGATAAAAGAACACTACATATCTGCAGAAATGCACACGACCCAAGACAAAATCTCTCCAGAAAGTATATGGGTCAATATAAAAGAAAACAAAAGTGACACTGCCAAAGGTATATATTACAGGCCACCCAAACAATCAGAAGAACTAGATGAACTCTTTGCCAACCAGCTAGCAAATGTGTGTAGGAAGCATATCACAGCAGTAATAGGAAACTTCAACTACCCAGATATCAACTGGGAGACAAAATCTGCAATGAGTGGGAGATCAAACAGATTCCTAACCAAGCTAGCTGACAACTTTGTAACTCAAAAGGTGGAGGAGGGAACTAGACGTAATGCTATATTGGACTTAATTCTTACAAACAGAGAAGAAGTGATAGAGGGAATCAAAATTACCGGAACCCTGGGCGAAGGTGACCACGTCATACTAGAATTTAATATAATGCAAACACCAGCAATAGAAAACAATCCAACCAAGATCCCAAATTTCAAAAGAGCTGACTTTAACAAACTAAGAGAGAACCTAAGAAAAATCCCATAGATGAAAATTCTAAAAGGGAAAACAACCCAGGAAGCATGGGAAACCCTGAAAAATGTGATCACAAAAGCCCAGACCAGCACAATACCACCGAGAAAGAAAAACAAGAAATCCAAGAAGAAACCAGCATGGCTGCACAAAGAACTCACTAACAAACTGAAAGACAAAAAGGACAAATACAAAAAATAACTAAAGCCAATTACCAGCAGGCAGCCAGAGCATGCAAAGGCTCAGAACGAACAAAAGTTAGCAACAGAAATTAAGGACAAAAAAAAAACACTTCTTCCAACATATTAACAAGAAAAATAATCAAGGAAACTGTAGGCCCACTAAAGAGAGAAGACAGCAAGGAAATTACAGGCAACATGGAGAAAGCAGAGCTGAACTCATGCTTTGTGTCAGTCTTCACACAAAAAGATACTACACCGCAACACACCAAAAAAAAAACCCACTGCAAAAGACATACCAGAAAAAAAAATTAAAATGAGCAAGAAAATGGTAAGGGAGCACCTATCCAACCTTGATGAATATAAATCACCGGGACCTGACAGGCTACATCTCAGAGTTCTGAAAGAGCTGGCAAAGGTTATCTCAGAACCGTTGCATCACATCCTCCATAAATCCTGAAGCACCGGAGAAGTACTAAAGGATTGGAAAAGGGCTGATGTCATCCCCATCTTCAAGAAAGGGAAAAAAACAGACCTAGGAAACTACAGACCAATCAGTTTAACACCAATACCTGGGAAAATCCTAAAAAAGATTACCAAAAAACAGATCTGCGAACAGCTAGAAGCAAACCAAGTCATAACTAGTAGCCAGCACGGATTTGTCAAAAACAGGTCATGCCAAACCAATCTCATCTCATTCTTCGATAAAGTGACTAAACTAGTAGACCAGCGAAATGCTGTGGACATAGTATATTTGGACTTCAGTAAGGCATTTGACAAGGTAGACCACAACCTACTCCTTGGTAAACTAAGAAAAGGTGGAATAGACAACATCACTACAGATGAATTGTAATTGGCTAACAAACCGTACTCAACGAGTAGTCCTCAATGGCAATACATCCACATGGAGAGAAGTAAGCAGTGGGATACCACAAGGTTCCGCCTTAGGCCCAGCACTCCTCAATATCTTCATCAATGACTTAGATGAGGGAATTGAAGGGGAACTCATCAAATCTGCAGATGACACCAAACTGACAGGAATAGCCAACACCTCGGAAGACAAACTCAGGATCCAAAAAGATCTCTTTTTTTATTGAAAATTTTTAAAATTTTACAAAAAAGTTCCTTTCCCCGAACCCTCCCAACCCACCCCAACCCTCCCCCAACCTTCCCAGAGCTGAATACAGGCTTGATTAAAATTTAAAAGAAAATTTTTTAAACACAAATAAACCATATACAAATTTGGTTACAATAATTAAAGAAATCATAAAATACTTTAACACCAATATTTAAAAAACAGAAAGAGAAAAAGAAAAGAAACAAGAAAAAGAAGAAGAAAGAGAAAAAAAATTAGAAAAAGAAAAAAAAAGTATATCTAAAAATTATCTTAAACTTTAAATATAAATTATTCAAAAGCTAAATAATATTTTTTTATATCATACTTGTATTGTATAAAATTTATCCATCTTTTCCATACCAAAAGGTACTTCTCTTGCGATTGATCTTTCAAGAAAGCCGAAATCTTTGCCATTTCCACTAAATAAGAAACTTTAAGAAACCATTCTTGCAAAGTAGGCAAAGATTCCTTCTTCCAACATTGCCCTACTAACAACCTAGCCGCTGTAATTAGGTTTAACATTAATATAGTTTCTTTACTGTCACAATCGGAAACAATACCCAACAAAAACAATTGTGGAGTAAATTTTATCCTTCTTTTAAAAATTCTTTGAACATTCCACCATATCTTAATCCAAAAAGCTTTTATGTTTTTGCATAACCACCAAATATGATAATATGTGGCGTCCAAGCAACCACATCTCCAATATTTAGGCTGCAAGTTTGAATACATACGAGACATTTTTTGTGGATCAAGGTGCCATCTATAAAACATTTTATAAAAGTTTTCCCGTAAATTTTGGGCTTGTGTAAATTTAACATTTCTCACCCAAATAATCTCCCAAGTATCTAATGGAACCAATTCATCAAAATTTTGTGCCCATTTAACCATACAATCTTTAACTAGTTCTGCTTCTGAATCCAATTCCACTAATACCCCATAAATTCTTTTGATATGGGTTCGTCTTTGATCTTTTATTTGTTTTAACAAATTCTCATCCTCTCTGAGCAAACCCACCTTGCAATCTATCTTCCACCTTTCCAATAATTGTCTATACTGAAACCATGAATAAATGATGTTTTCTTGTATTAAATCTTCCATAGATTTTAATTGCCAATTTCTACCATCCCATTTAAGTAATTGTGTATAAGAGATACTATCCATCTTAACTGCTCTCCTTATCCCTTCTATCGCATGCCATGGGATAGCCCATAATGGAATTCTAGAGTCGCTTCTGTAATATTTCTTCCAAACCCAAAGTAAGGAAGTTCTTAAAATATGAGACTTAAAAACCCTATCAACCTTTTTATTAAAAATTAAATAGGCATGCCATCCAAAAAGTAAATCCCATCCCTCCAGAAGGAGTACATCTACATTAGTTAAGTTAACCCAATCACTAATTAATGTTAACACCACAGCATCATAATACAATTTCAGGTTCGGTACCTTGAGTCCACCTCTCTCACGAATATCTTGTGTAATTTTAAGTTTTACTCTTGGTTTTTTTCCCTGCCCAGATAAATTTATTGATACCTTTCTGCCATTCATTTAAGTTGACCTCATTCTTTAAAATAGGTATCATTTGAAATAAAAAGAGAAACTTTGGCAAAATATTCATTTTAATCGCTGCAATTCTCCCCAGTAGGGATAATTGCAGCTTCTTCCAATTTTCCAAATCCTTTTGTATTTTAACCCACAGACTTTCATAATTATTTTTATACAATTTTGCATTGGAGGCAGATAAAATAACCCCCAAATATTTTACCTTATTAACAACCTCAAAATCTGTCAACCTAACTAAAGTCTCCTTATCCAAATTGGTCATGTTTTTAGGCAATATTTTAGTCTTATTATTATTAATTTTAAAACCCGAAACTTGTCCATACTGATATATCAATTGTAGCAACTCCATTACAGAATGAGTTGGTTGGGATAAAGTAACAACCAAATCGTCTGCAAAAGCCCTTAATTTATATTCTTTTTTATTGACTTCTATTCCTTTTATTTTCTGTGATTCCCGAATTTTAATCAAAAAATTTCCAAAGTTAAAACAAACAGCAATGGCGACAATGGACAACCCTGTCTAGTCCCCTTCTCAATTGAAAACACCTCTGACAAACCTCCATTAACTATAAGTTGTGCCGTTTGTTTTTGATAAATAACACGAAGAGCTTGTAAAATTTTTTCTCCAAAATTCATTTCCTCAATTAATCTTAACATAAATTGCCAATTTAACTGATCAAAAGCTTTTTCAGCATCTAAAAATATCAATCCTACAGAAACTTGGTTGTTTTTATCCAAATATTCTATTAAATTAATAATTTGTCTAACATTATTCTTCATATACCTTCCAGTTATAAAACCCGTTTGATCCATATGTATTAATTGATTTAACACCCTCATAAGTCTATTAGCTAGAATTTTCGAAAAAATCTTATAATCTACATTCAAAAGAGATATGGGTCTATAATTCTTTGGTAAAGTGAGATCTTGATCTTCTTTTGGAATCAAAGATATGAAAGCTCTGCCCCATGACAAGGGGGTCTCTGAACCCTGTAATATATTATTAAAAAGTTCCCTTAAAGGTTGTTTCAACTCTTCTACCAAGGTTTTATAATAAATAGACTTCAATCCATCCTTACCCGGTGCTTTACCTAATTTTAATTCTTTAATTACTATCTCAGTTTCCTTGATGGTAATCAAACCATTAATTTCTTGTTTCTGATCTTCTGTTAATTTAGGGAAATGAGCATCTTGTATATATTTATCTATATCTGAAGCCTGTACTTTCGTTCCCATATATAATTTTTTATAGTAATCTAAAAAAGATTTCTTAATCAGCTCCTTCTGATATACCAATTTACCATTATAATTTATTTTATCTATAGTTCTCAACCTCTGCTTCTTTCGCAATTGATAAGCCAACCATCTCCCTGGTTTATTAGCATTACAAAATGTATTATGTTTCATGTACAATAAGTTAGTTGCAGTTTGATCAGCCATCAACATGTTAAATTGTGATTTAAACAATTTTATGGATTCTTTAATCTTCTCATCTGTAGGATTCAAAATTAAAGCTTTTTCTTTTAATTTAATCTCATCTTCCAACTCCTTACGTTTCTGCACCTGCTTCTGTCTATAAACCTTGTTCATTTGTATCAAGACCCCCCGCATGTAAGCTTTACCTGCATCCCAAACCATTGGCATTGAAGTTCCCTTATACATATTTAAAGCAAAATATTCCTTTAATTGCTCCTTTAATTTCTGAACATTCTTTTCGTGTCTAAATAAATTTTCATTCATCCTCCAGGATCTCCTCTCCTCTTTTTCATTAACCAATTCCATCCAGACTGGACTATGATCCGTCAGTGTTCTAGGAAAAATCTTAGCGTTCTTTACCCTAAAATATAAGTCCATTGTAATGAAAAAAAAAATCAATTCTTGAAAAAGATTGATGTCTGTCCGAGAAGAAGGTGAAGTCTCTCTCCTCCAAATTGTGTTCACGCCAATAGTCTCTCAACTCCCAGTCCTCTTTCAAATCAAAAAAAGCCTTAGGTAATTTAGCCTGTTTGAAAGAAGTAGAAGATCCTTTTTTATCTCTTTGTGTATCTAAAACACCATTCCAGTCTCCCATTAATATAACAGATCTATAGTCCAGCAAAGTCAATTTTTGATGTAACAGTCTGTAAAATTGTTCCTGTTGTTGGTTTGGTGCATACAAACCTACTATAAGTACTTTCTTGCCATACAGTCCCACTTCAATCATAACATATCTCCCTTGAGGATCAGAATCTACTAAACAAGCTGATAAATTTTGCTTAACATAAATAACTACACCCCTTTTTTTCCCCAAGAGCAAAAGATGCAAAACGAGATCCCAGTCGGGTGTTAACTAAATATTTTTGATCCTTAGAAATAATATGTGTTTCCTGCAAACAAATAATATCATTGTTATGTTGCTTTAAATAGTGAAATATTTTCTTTCTCTTTTGAGGGGAATTGAGGCCATTAGCATTCCATGTCAGGAGCTTTACCATCTCCCTTGACCAAAAGCCTAGAGAAGACTGCTTGAAGATCTGCCATTGTAGAATGTACCGCAGAACTCTTGGGTTTTGCTCCTCCCACAGGCTCAGAAACAGATTCTTGTAAAACTTCTTTAACATCTTTCTTCTGTTGTTCCTTTTCCTTACGTTTGTGGGCTGCCCGGGTCATCCTTTGCTCTTTCATCCCTGCTTGTTGCAACCACTCAGCCTGTAATTTTCCAGATTCCATCAATACTACTTCTTCAGACTGCTGTTCTGCCTCCTTGCCATCCAAAACTTTCATCATCATAGGTGGTGATGAGTGTGCTCCCAGGACCGACATATAAAACTCCTTTGCTTTAGAAACAGTATTAAGTCTGTAACGCATCCCCGTATGACTCACCACTATGACAATCGGAATCTCCCATCTGAATGGCATCAACCTTTTTTTAAGTTCATCAGCTAAGAAGACAAACTCTTTTCTTCTTCTTAAAATTTTAGATGGAATCTCCTTTAGAATTATAACATCTTGTGCAGCAATCTGAAACCTCTTATTGTAAAAAGCTTGTATAATTTCATTACGCAGAGATCTTTTCCCAAAATAAATTACCACATCTCTTGGCAGATTTCTTTGCTTTGCAACCCAGGAGTTGACTCTAAATATTTTTTCAATTTCCCTAGATATTGCCTCTTTTTCTCTGTCCAGAATCACAGCAAAATCATTTGCTACAATCTCTCTCAGCTCTTGTTGCATGTCTTCTCTCAGCCCCCTGATTCTTAAAGCGAACTCCATTTCTCTATATTGAGACATAACAATATCATCTTGTGAAATTTCCATCTTTTTTTCCATGCCTTCAAATTTATCCTCCAAAACCTCCACCTTATCTGCCACTTCTTCCACTCGAGAATCCAGATTCTCAACCACAGAAGCAAGTCCTTTTAGAGCCACAACTATATCTTGCCTCAAAATAATATTATTCTCCACTAAAAGATCTTTCACTTCCCCTCTAATTTGAGATATAGCATTTCCCATTATATCTTGCATATCTTTTACCGTTACTGATGGCAGAGGAGGGGAAGGTGGTGGTGTAGCTTTAGGTTGTTGTGCTGGTAAAATCGCAGGAGAAGAAGCCACCTTAGGTACTGTAGATGTTACTTGCCGCCTTGAAGCCATTTTCAAAAAGAAAAGTTTTGTTTCTTCTTTCCTCCTTCTTAAAAAGCAAAATAGAAAAAATACAAAAAAAAACCCTTAAAGAAATAACAAAAAAGAGTTTGACAGAGAGGGAAAATAATCTTCCTGAAACACAAATCCAACTTGAAAAAACCTTTAAAAACGATCTAATCCGTTCCGTTCCGCTCCCTTCAAGAAAAAAAAAGAAAAAAAACTTTCCAATCGCCATTTTACTTTCCCTCTCGATAAAAGAAAAAAGAAAAAAAAGGGGAAGTAAAAATCAATCTTTAAGCTTAAAGTCCAAATAAGATCAAAAAAAATAAAATCCTTTATCCAGCTCTGTCCGCTTTTAAAATAACTCACCAGGTTTCTTTAAGCGTGGAGGTGGGAGCGGCGTCTTGCTTTGTCCCCAAGGGACAAAGACAGCTGAGAAGCGGAGACAACCTGAACTCCATGGGAGCCCTCTTTTCACCCCCAAAAGAAAACTTCCTTGGGGGTCTCAGAGGCTCTACCTCTATTCAGGTGATACTCCCCTCCCTCCCTTGCCTTAAAAACTGCAACTGTGAGAGCGATCTTGCAGTCCTAGTGGACGATCACTTGACTATGAGCCAGCAGTGTGCAGCAGCAACCAAAAAAAACTAGTACAATCCTGGGTTGTATAAACAGAGGCATAGAATCAAGATCACGAGAAGTACTATTACTGCTTTATCAAGCTCTAGTAAGACCACACCTACAATACTGCAGACAATTTTGGTCACCATACCACAAAAAAGAGTTTGGAAAAAAAATCAAAGAAGAGCAACTAAGATGATCAAAGTCCTGGAGACTAAAACATACGAAGAAGGGCTACAGGATTTGGGTCTGGCTAGTCTAAAGAAAAGAAGTAGTAGGGGAGACATGATAGCAGTCTTCCAGGATCTGAGGGGCTGCCACAAGGCAGAGGGGGCCAGGTTGTTCACCAAAGCACCAGAGGGAAGGACGAGAAACAATGTTTGGAAACTGATCAAAGAGAGACGCAACTTGGAATTAAGGAGAAACTTCCTGATAGTGAGAACAATCAACAGTGGAACAGCTTGCCACCAGAAATCGTGAGTGCTCCATCCCTGGAGATTTTTAACAAGAGACTGGACATCCACTGATATAGGTTCTCCTGCTTGAGCAGGGGGCTGGACTAGAAGACCTCCAAGGTCCCTTTCAGACTCTATTCTATGCTATTCAACACATGTCCACCATTCAACAAAGTGAAAAAAAAATTAAAAAATGAAAATAACAATTACAAAATAATAATTCATTAAATAAAAAGAACACAAAACACAAGCAAACTCAAAGGACAGACTTCGTTGGACCACCAGGTCTTTTTCTGACATCACTTTTCTATGATTCTTTAAGATGAGGTTGCCCCCCCCCCTCCAAACTGCACTTACTGGATGGATTTTCGGATGCAGACTTACCCGCTGGGCCTTTCGCTGGAGCTAGAAAAGAACAGAAAACAAACTGAGCTCCAATATGTCAAACAGGACCAGCCCCAGGCTGGTGCATCACCCCGGAATCCTTCCCCCCAAAGCCCAATGTCTGCCTAAAGGCTCATCAAGCAGGCGGCCTTCAGGAAGAAGCTTTATTTTACCAGGTGAGAACCTGCAGGAATTCCATTCCAATCAGCAATAGAATCCTTGAGAGCTGCCTTGTTACCACAGAAAAGTAGAATAGGATAGAAAAGTCCTTTTCCCGTTGGCTCAATGACTTCCCCCAAACCTCTTTACCAATCAGAGAGGCTGATAAATATGGCTCTAGGGTTCAGGGCCCTTAGATTTCCCACCTCTCCACCCCAAAGGGTGATAGAATCGCTGCCGTTCTGTTGTTCAGGGTCCCTCTTTCTGGGAAAGCAAGCCCCCCTTTCTCCAAGGATCACTGCAATGAGCGTGGAGGGTCTCCTCAGCGTTGGGACCCTTGTCTTCGGCAAACGTCTGTGACACAGAACTTGTATCTTGTATTTTCTGTTACTGCAATTGTCAGTCTGGAAGCAAACTGGCAACCAGCATGGATGGCAAAGTAGGGCTGTTACAAGAGCATCCTGAGGCATACCCATCATTGCCCTCTTCTGGAGTAGGTGAAGCTTCTGGGTGGTCTTCAAGACCAGCATAAAATAGAGCATGTTGCAGTAGCCAAGCCATGGGTGTCCAGGGAAGGAATAACTTTCTGAAGGACCTCCTGATCTAGGAAAGGGCACAACTGGTGCACCAGGTGGAATTGTGCAAGACTTCCCGGCCACAGTTGTCACCTGTTCACCAAGCAGCAGCTGTGAGTCCTGGAAGACCCCACCCAGATCTTTCATTCACACGTTCTAGGTTCTTCCTTCCCCGTTGCAGCCTCTGTGGTTACCCACACAAGGTGGGGTCTTGCAAGTCAGCAAATGGTCTCCAAGATCCTCCCAAGAAGGAAGTCTACCAGTAGGGCACGCTGACATTCTCATACATGGCCTAGGGTCTCCTGCTCGAACAGGCACTAGAAGACCTCCAAGGTCCCTTTCAACTATGATGATGATGGTGATGAGGATGATGAGAATGATGACATATTTTGAGAAAAAGATGGCAAATAAGATAGCTTACCTTTTGCTGCTGGTGGTTTGGGAGCCATTTTACCTGATCAGTGAATATAACATCTCAACGCAATGTGCACAGCTGGAGAATGGAGCAGAAAGTGGTCAGCAAAATGGAGACAGCTTCAGAATTGACTCATATCTCCTAAGCTGGGTTATATGTCCTCCTAGTGGGCAATCACTTAAATGTGAGCCAGCCGTGTGTGGCACCAGCCCAAAAGTCCAATGCAATGCTACGTTTTAGTAACAGAGGGACCGAATCCAGATAACATGAATTGTTTGTACCCCCTTATAACAGCCTGGTAAGGCCACATTTGGTCGCCACATTATTTATTTATTTATTTATTTATGAGACTTATATACCACTTTAAGTGCAAGCACTCTCTAAGCGGTGTACTCCAGTAAGCAACGTATATATATATTTACATTGCCCCCAACCATCTGGGTCCTCACTTTACCTACCCCGGAAGGATGGAAGGCTGAGTCAACCTTGAGCCGGTGAGATTTGAACCGCTGACCTGCTGAACACAGTCAGCTAAAGTGGCCTGCAATACTGCACTCTAACTGCTGCGCCACTTCGGCTCTATAAAATGATATTTTATATTTATATGATATTTATATGATATTATATGATATCATATTAAATGATATTTAATATTATAAAATGATGTTGAGACTCTGGAAAGAGTGCAGAGAAGAGCCACAAAGAGGATTAGGGGACTGGAGGCTAAAACATACGAAGAACGGTTGCAGGAATTGGGAAGGTCTAGTTTGATGAAAAGAAGGACTAGGGGGGAACACCCTAGCAGGGTTCCAATATCTAAGAGGCTCCCCCAAACAAGAGGAGGAGGTCAAGCTATTCTCCAAAGCACCTCAAGCCTGGACAAGAAGTAAAGAATGGAAAGCTATCAAGGAGAGAAGCAACCTAGAACTGAGAAGAAATTTCCTGACAGGGAGAACAATTAATCGGTGGAACAACCTGCTTCCAGAAGTTGTGGATGCTTCAACACTGGAGTTTTTAAGAAGAGATTGGACAACCATTGTCTGATATGGTATAGGACTTCCTGCTTGAACAGGGGGTTTGACTAGAAGACCTCCAAGATCCCTTCCAATTCTATTGTTCTGTTCTTTTCTGTTTTACTCTGCTCTGCTCTACTCTACTCTACTGTACTCTACTCTACTCTATCTGATTCTCTTTCCCCATTGGTAAAGGGTGGTGGGCATAGGAACAGGATACCTACCCAAACTCTGGACTCTTAGTCTACTACCAGGATTGCACTGTGACTTGGAGCTGCGCTGGACTTAACTCTTTGTGTCTTCAGCTGGATCTTCCTTCTGACAGTTTTTGACAGTTTGTTCCCTTATGATGTAGAATATTCAACTTCTGCCGCTCTCCCATTGGCTGGCTGCTGGGCCCAATCAGCATCCAGCACTTAGCCTTCAGTTTCCTCCTTTGATCCCCCCCCCCTCAGAAACCTGCATTTTAATTTGTGGATTTCAGATGGTCCTCTGCAGATACTACATTTCAGGCTGAATTTTCTTCTACTAGTTTAAAATGGTCTGCCTGGGATTTCCTTGGCAGAAGCGGCCAGACGCCATTGCAAAGCCCATGTTGAGAACCGAGAATTGCAAGATATGACCAGATCGGTTAGGGGGTGAAAAAAATCAGTCCAATATTAAAAAACCAGATGCAGTTAGGAAATATATACAGAATATTTTTTTTTAGTTATGATTGAAGCTTGCTTGCTAACAAACCTGTGAAGGTTTTAAAACCTTAATTTTTTCGAATTGCCATAATTTTGTATTCTGGGAGAAAATACGATACTTGGAGTAACAATCGCCTCTTTGACGGACAGTCACCTTGTGAGATTAGAGTGAGATGTTTCAAGGAGTTTCTATGGAAAGGCTGCTGGGGGGGCAGGCCAGTGGCCTTCCTCTGAATGCAGTTGGGGTGGGTGATACAAATAATATCCTCCCCTTTCCTAAGGATTACGAAAGGTTTACTGGATGCAACAGGTCACAGCATCACTGGTAGAAGAGAGTGAGTTTGGAGGGGAGGGAGGAGGAGGAGGAGGAGGAGGAGGAGGAGGAAGCTTAAGCACGACAAGTTGCCTTCTGCAGATAAGTAGTTGAGCTTTGACATGATGCTTCACATAAACACACGCCCACCATCCAACAAACTCAAAGAACACACCTCATTGGACTTCCCCAAATCCTTTACAAATCAGAGAGGCTGATAAATATGTTTCTATGGTTCAGGGCTCTTAGATTTTCCACATCTCCACTCCAACGGGTAGTAGAATCCGCTGCCGTTCTGTTTTTCAGGGTCCCTCTTTCTGGGAAACAAGCCCCCCTTTCCCTAAGGAACACTGCAATGAGCATGGAGGGTCTCCTCAGTGTTGGGACCCTTGTCTTCGGCAAATGTCTGTGACACAGAACTTGTATCTTGTATTTTCTCTTCCCGCAATTGCTTTACTAAACATCTACAAGAAAGTGCTGGCTGAGATTGTCTGACACTTTGAGTCAGATATTTGGAACTCAGGATTGAACAGAGAGGTCCTCTCTGAGCTGGGTGGTTTTTTTGCAGATGTTTCATGACCCAACTAGGTATTATTGTCAGTGCTAGTAGGGAGTGGGGTTTGTGGAGAGGAGGAGGAGGAGGAGGAGGAAGAAGAAGAAGAAGAGGATTCTGGGGTCCTTGGTGCTCTCTGAGCTTGGTTGATTGTTCTCACTGTCAGAAAATTTCTTAGTTCTCAGTTGCTTCTCTCCACTATGCATCACTAATAGGTGGGGGAGGCTCTATCGGCTGCGAATTGAGTTCCAGGGGCTGGTTTTGATTGGGGTTGGGGGCCCCACAGGACCCCCTTTGTTGGCCCTGACCAGTCAGACCAGTTAGGGTGGTCCTACCAAGCGGCCACATTCAGCAGGTCTGGGGCACCAAAGCGAGAAAGTTTAGTGCCCCAGTTGTGACAACATTGTGGAATTGCCTCCCGGAGGAGATTAACTTGGTCTCCTCTTGGTGGACATTTCTGAAATTGTTGGAGACGGAGCTGTGTGGGAGAGACTTCCGCTGGTTTTATGATGTCTCAGTTTTTCGGCTTTCCCGTTTGTCTTTTTGTTTAGTGATGCTTTTCTTGTTCTTGTTGAGCCTCTCATGTGGTTTGGTGTATTAAAACACCATGGATGTTGCGAACCCTTCTTTTGTATTCTATGTCAGCCAAGGAACTTTTGAAGGCAGCAGAGTAGAGATGTGATACATCAAACCTCTGTAATGACTTGGATGGCAAATCCTGGGATGGAGGGTGGGGTGCACATGGGCCCTAGGGGGTTTTCGATACTCCCGCATGTAGTTCTATTTATTTATTTAAAGATTTATATGGCCGCCCACTCACTCTCAGTGACTCTGGGCAGCTTACAAACAATAAAGCTGAACGAAATAGAACAAACACAGAAAAGACAGTTTCTTTTTTCATTCTTTTTTACTTGCCCCTGAATTTGCTAAATAAGACCGTATCTTTGATCTCCGAAAAGGCAGGATGGAAAAGGTGTTTGGAAGCTGATGTCAAAGTCCTGAGTTCTTCCATGTCTCCACGCTGGCTGACTGGGGCAACTGTTTTTCAGAGGCAGGTTCACCGAGTGGCGTTTCTTTCTCACTGGGTTCATCAAGTACAATTTTGTGCAACGTTCAGTAAAGAGCTAGTTTATCCATTTGGTCTCAGGTTTCTGCTTGCAAATGCCTCTTCCCCGAAGGGTACATTCCACAGCACCCCAACACTGTAAACGTGTATTACATTCAGTATCCATTCTTACACATTTATTATCTGGACTTTTGCCTGGATGTCCTTCCCTCCAGTATCTGGAAAGAAGAAACAACTGTTGTCAGTCCTCTCGACAAAATGAGTATCATTTATAGACTTTGGAGCAGGAAATAAATGTTGGATCCATTCACCTTCTTCCCTCACCTCAGTGAGAGTTTCCAACAACTCCAAATGTTGGTCTGTGGTTGTTTTGGCAGAGAAATAGAGGTGGAGTTCACCAAAATCTTGGCGACACATCTCCCCCTCCGTCCTCTTGGACAGACCTTGGCAAAAGATTACGGATCTCTAGGCAACCGTTTTATAAAAATGGGCCATGGCACCCTTCTTGGTTGCTTTGGGCATTGAGGCTTGGGGAGAATTCTGGAGTGTTTCTATTCCTCCCTTTGCCGGTGGTTTCAATTGGGGGAGGGGGTGGGGGAGGAGAAGTCGGGGAGTACTCATTCATGGGGCACCGTAGAGTTTGGTCCTTTCCCCATTATTATCCTCGTGCAAGAAAGCAGTGGGGAAGGTCGTCCATCAGTTCAGGGCTCAGTGCCATCCCAATGTGTGATGGAATGTGCATCCGCAGGAGCAGTGTGTGTGTGTGGGGGGGGGGGGGAAGATTTGACTATACAGACTTTTCCCAGGAAGAGGCCCGTATTAAGAGACTTCACGGTCCTGGGTGGAGAAGAGGGGACGAAGTTCAGGGTAGCCACACCTTAGAACCTCTGAGATATTATCCAGTAAGTTAGGAGGTTATAGCTTTAGCTTGGCAAGATTCTGTCCATTGGGTGCAAAAGCAAATAAAGAAGTGAACTCTATTCGTTGTGTCATCTCTAGGCCCAACACAATGCTAAAGATATGGTTGGATGAGAGAGAGAGAGAGAGAGAGAGAGTTAGATATAGATAATACACACACACACACGCACACACATATATATACATATACAGAAGATTCTATCCCCCAATCTATCTGCAGCAATTTGTAATGACCCCCACATGGTGACAACATCATACAAATACCATTATTATTATTATTATTATTGTTGTTGTTGTTGTTATCCTCATCATCATCATCAACATCAACATCATTATACACACTGCATCTTTTGCCACCTCTCTCCGACTTCAAGATATTTCAGGCTATAAGAAACAAACTTGAATTAGGCACTTACTCTTTTTGAGGTTTAGTTTCAAGAGCCACCCATTTCCATTCCCTGTTAATATAACTCAATCCAATCCAATAATGACCATGTTTCATCTTAATTGATTCTTCTAAGAACCTCTGAAAGAAAAAAATCCACACGTCAGTTACAGTGAATGAAGGAGAGATTCTCACCTTATGGACCTTCCAAATCAGAGCCTCCCTAGAAGCATCAGGGGAGGAATATGTAGAAGCAGCAGCAATGCAATCCGTGCGGTACAATCACAAAGAATGGGACAGATCAGCTTCCTGAAACAATGGAACCTCCAGGAGGAACCAAGCAGGCCTTTGGCTGAACCAGCAGAGCCACAAAAGCCACGATCAAACCTAGTTTATGGGCCATTCCGCATTTGCACGTAACCATGGTGAGAAATGACCAGGGAGCTGCCTGGTTCCACCCTTCCCCAAGTCCTTGTCTCATCTCCTCCTCAGCCCAGAACTCTTCCCTCATCCCTCTCTCTGGCCTTAGTTTGTCCCCATAAAATCCGCAACCACCTGCAGTCCATCCACAATGAACAGAATCTGATGCCCACTCAAGTCATCCCACAGGGGAGGAGGCACTGAGGTTGGTGAGAGCCTATCTGCTCGCCTTCTTTCCTTCTTCTGATCAACTGCTCACTGCCCCTGCTTGGGGGCTTCCAGGAGGGAGGAGCCCTGCAACACTACCAGCCAGCAGAAAAGGCCAGGTCTCTCAACACTGGCAACACCTGTCCACACCTCCGCAATGGCTGTACGGAAGCCTCCTCGGTTGCAGCACAGAGTCTTCTTTCAGACTCAGCACAACTGTGGGCCCAAAAGCTCCATGGCAGCTTGCAGGGAGCAGCCACGCTGAGAGGGCAAGTGGAGCTTGGAAACAGCCTGAAACCCACACTGACAAGGAGCCCCTCTGCAGCTCTGTTCAGCACCCATGCAGAGCTGCTGAGTGTCGGCACTGGTGCTTTCCTGCGTTAATCCCCACCGTCAAGCCATGGGTCCAAGCCTGCCACCCCCCACCCACCCAAGACCCATCTGAGCCCTCTCCTGCACCCCTGGCCTGAAAGCACAGGGACAGCTTTCAATCAGATGTCTTGCTCTCCCCGTTCTCCAGAGACCGTCAATGCAGGAGAGGGATCCGCGATGGGCACAGCCAGTTTTAGGCTGGTGTCCTTTTCTGCCAAAATCAAGGCCAGGCTGACAGTGGAGACAAAGCAAAAGCCGAAGGGAAAAACCTCAAAGTCATTCCAACAGGAGAGGGAGAAGGGCAGGGCACTTACCTGCTCTGTGTCATCAGTAACATCAGTTATGTAAGCTTTCGATTTATTGCATAGCTCCACTGTGCCCTCAAAACTCAGGGATGCGTAATTAAATAAATACAGGTGGCCCTTATAGGCTGTCCAGTCATGATTCAATTTGTAATGAAGTTCAGCTTTGAACAAATTATAATTGGGACATGAAGAGGGAAAGAAGAAAGA